TGTTTGGAACGAAAAAGTTAAAATCACATGTTCTGGCCTTGAGGTTAAATGGAAAGTTGGGCACATCCTATTAAGCGTTTTAAAGATAGCATTGAAAGTCTTTATTGATTTTTAAACAATCTTGATTTCATCGATCTCAATTGTAAAAGTATATTGATAGCCACTGAGAGTTACATTGATAGCCACCGAGAGCTTATAATGATAGCCACTGAGGAGCTTGAATAGATAACGACTGAGATTTTATAATGATAGCCACTGAGAGCTTATATTGATAGCCATTGAGAGCTTATATTGATAGCCACTGAGAGCTTATATTGATAGCCACCGAGGAGCTTATAAATATATAGCCACTAAGGGTTTGTAAATATAGCCACTGAGAGCTTATATTAATAGCCACTGAGAGCATATAATAAATGTAAATCAGAATTCAATTGTATTACTAACGATTACTAGATATTGATAAGAACATAATACATTGATTGCTAATATGAGATTATTTTTAATACCATAGTCACTGGGGGGTATCGTGATGCAACAACACCGTGTTGTTGCATCAAGATGGCCAGACTTCCGGTGATAGATTTTCGTACGATGTTTTGTTTTCCCAATTTACACCCATTTCTAGGACGAGTTGCTCAATAATCATACACATGCAGTTAGCACATGATCTATATTTTAAAAAACTGTCATTGGTATACATGTAGCATCATCAAGAAGCGATAAATTCGTGGTTTTAATTCCTCACTATTGATGCAACAACACCACTCTGTTTCTTATCGATGATGCAACAACACCAATGTGCTGATGCAAAAACGCCAATATAATGTACGTATCATTGAACAACAAGAGAAACTGTTTTATGTTCTGTTTACAGGTGTAGGTCGGGACATGAATAAAACGCGTGAGTCAGTGGTCCATGAACGAAACGTATTTTGTTTGGTTTCTTTGTCTATATCAAAGTTAAAAGGATATACAAGGCAAACTAAATAAAGTATAGAATCCCCGGGAGGCAATCTCATTGATATAGTATCTGAAAAGTAAAGATTATACATTTTCTAAATTAAATGCCCTTGATTTACCGTATGGAAATTGCTTACAAATAACTAATATAATTTTGGAAAGACAACAGATATCAGTCATTTTGTGTTGTTAGTACCTCAATTGAAATACTCAATTCTGATTGGTTGATGAGCGGGCAACAAAATGTATTATTAGTACCTCAACTGAAATACTCGATTCTGATTGGGTGATTAGCGGTCAAAATTATGTACTGTTGACCGCTACTAGGTACTGTTGACCGCTACTTCTGAAAAAAAGTTTCATGACGTCACAAAAAACATGGAAGACGGACATTTTGTAAATGTTGATGAAAATGACTTTACTAGGCGACAAGTATAGCAAAAATACAAATAGAAACTTAAAATTAACATTAATTCACTAACGAGTACGCCGTGATGTGCCAAATACAGAGTTGAGCTTCTTGCACTGTCTCCATATTTTCTAAAAAAAATATTGCTAACGTGGTTCGGAGAAAAGGTTGTGAAATGAAGCCATGCCGATTGATGATCGTCGTCTATATGTGTATTATATTAGTTTACTCGGACTAACAAAACAATTGTAGACCTCTCCATTCGATCAACCGTCAAAATCATATACCTCGACTGTAAACCTTGAAACTACTGTTGACCTCGACCTTCGGTCTCTGTCAACAGTATTTTTTCGGTTTACAGTCTCGGTATACAATTTTGCCGGTTGGCCTCTGGGGAGGTCAACAATTGTAAACTGTTGACCACTACTAGGTACTGTTGACCCCTATTTTCGAAAAATTGTTTTTTTTTAATTTTGAAAAAATAAGTTGTGTAAAAAATTACAAGTATTCGACGGTTTGGGGATTTTTTGCTAAAATATGATACCTTTACTTATCAAATATGTTCACGTGATATTCGATTATATATTCGTCCAATTATTATATTATTTGGACTAACAGAACAATGGTTAACCTCTCTTTTCGGTCAACTGGCAAAAGTGTCCTCGACATCTGGTCTTGATCAACAGTACTTTCAAGGTTCACAGTATCGGTATACAGTTTTGCCAGTTGACCTCAAGAGGGGTCTACAATTGTATATTGTATATCCTTTGTTATCCCACCCAAAGTATGATGTCATATATCAAGTTGAAGAGTTGTATACGCTGCTCAGGAGTTTACGCTATCCAGGAGTTGTACATCGTTCTCAAGAGTTGTATAGGATGAGTGTTGGTTTAATGATATTGCAGTTATACAATGCTATTATATAAAAGTTATTTACTGAGAGGGACTCAATATTGGTTTTATTTCGAGAGACAATGTGATATTTCCCGAGGGCCCGGGATATCTGGGATAACTGTACCCCTATCAATTTACCTTTTTGGGCCCTAAATTTTATCACTTTTGTTTACCTTTTTACTCAGTCGGAGAGAAGGAATCCAGAGAGCAATAATTCTACATGTGCGTCGTGCAAGATTTCCATTAAACGTGTAACTAAACGGCCTCTCTAATAAAGTCAATTAGACGTTTTTACACGTTGGCTCTCCAAATTGTAGGAAATAAAGAATCATATCATATTATATCTTAGATGAAGCAATCATCCCATCAACATAAGCTCACGAATGTCACAGTTAAACTGTTTTAGTTATAATTTGATAAACAGTGGTTTATCACTGTTCCACAGATGGATGGCAGATAATATCATGATAATATCCAATAGCTCATCATGTTTACCGAGAACGAAAGATGTTTGTCCACCATTTTGAATGATATTAAGTGGAGTCAGGGTCATCAAGCTATGGAACAGTGGTTTATGAAAATAGATTGGGTTACTAAAGCATGTCATGTTAAAGGCGATTGAACTATGTTATAGAATAACGTCCAGTACATTATAATATGTAAAAGTATAAATGTTTGAAAATATTGAATGCCTTGAGAAGAACGCAAATATGGGTAGGCTAATTGGTAACGGTATTGCAATAGTAGCATTTAAAAATCTGTTCCTCTCGAGATTTATGGTCTTCTGAAATTATAATATTAATTGGTGTTGCTGCATCATTGCTCAAATCTAGAGGAGTGTTGTTGCATCTTCGGGTTGGTGTTGTTGCATCAATAGTGAGGAACTAAAACCGTGAACTTATTGCTTCTTGGTGATGGTACATGTATACTAATGACAGTTTCTTTAAATATAGATCGTGCGCTAACTGCACGTGTATGGTTATTGAGCAACTCGTCCTAGAAATGGGTTTAATTGGGGAAACAAAATATCGTACGAAAATCTATCACCGGAAGTCTGGCCATCTTGATGCAACAACACGGTGTTGTTGCATCACGATACTCCCCAGTGATAGTGATTGCCACTGAGAGCAAAATTTTATAGCCACTGAGAATATATGTTGAATGCTACAAAAATCATATTTAGAATATTCCTGAGTGCTTATAAAATCAGACTGCCACTGGAATACTATTTCAATTCTCACTAAGAGTATATTTATAATTATACTAAGAACATATTTAAAAATCATTGATAATTATTCAAATTAAATTAAATATATACATTGACTTACAAAATGTCAACTTAAATTGAAATGTTTTATTAGAATTATATGAATGAACATCGTTTTACAGTGATTGATGCAGAGGGATCGGCAGCATTCTGGCTTTAAACATAATTTTATTTTTTAGAGATTCCGCAGGTTCTCATGAGAGGAGTTTTTGTCAATTGATTTATTTATTAGAAATACAATATGGTTCCAGGGTTATTAAACATGGTATGCTACAATTCGACAATGTGAAAGACACTCGCCTCAAATCTTTGTCGTTGGATCTTATGACTGAAATCACAAAACATGGGAAAAGCGAACATACAATTAAGAAGTACAGTTTTTATTTCGAAAAATGGACTAAGTGGACCAACAGTTTCGATGAAGTAAACGATCTACCAGCCAACTCAAAGTTCGTAGCCATTTTCCTGTTACAGTATCACAGTTACAAAGTGGTTCATCATATAACGTTCTGTATGCTCTTAAATCTGGAATAAGCTGGGCTCACACATCTGCCGGTTTAGAGGACCCCTGTCAGTCTTACTTAGTTCGAAACATTCTAGATGCAGCTAAGAGACAAGCGAGTAAACCAGTTGTTAAAAAAGAACCTTTCACAGCGGATATGTTGCATAAACTGGTCGATTCTTTATCAGATCAAAGTTCTCAAAGAATTAAGAAATGTGACAATTTGCGTTTTGGGATTCGCAGGTTTTTTGCGTTACAATGAATTAGCTCAGATCACTTTTGGTGACATTTCCTTTAGTGAATTTCATTTTACTATAAATATTCCGTCTTCCAAGACTGATGTATACAGAGAAGGGAATTCAGTTGTTGTTGCCAAAACTGGCAATCCTACTAGTCCAACAACATTAGACCTAGCCCGGGCCTCGTTTCTTATCTGACATGTGTTATGGCCCGGCTAGGTCTAACCTCCATGACCATTTTGCCTTTGATGCGTTAATTTAATCGTTCAGCAGGTTTCGACAAGCGGAACAAATTAAACCCTGAAAACATGGCAATATTACACAAAGAATGTGATTCAAACATGCATACATACCTTATAAACACATACACCCCGTCCCGTATCCCCCTTAGACCCTATTGATGCATAATTACGAAAATATTGGAGACAGGTTTGGAATATGACGAAAATGTCGGTCAGTTTCGGTAACATCGAAATTGCAAATCGTTTCAGGAATTTACCGTCATCACGGCACTGCATTAACGAACAGTGGGTTTGCAATTAATAACTATTTTGCGTGTATACACGCGCTATATAAATTAATCAAAGATACCCGTTATCCTCAAAATTGATCTTTTTATCCCGAGTAATCGCGATAATAATTATCAATCTATTTGACAACAATTTCGTTTCGCTGGTAGTTTAATTTTACGATCCGGGACACTCAGACGAACAGACACAATGACGGAACATGCGGAAATGTCACTTTAGAGATTGGTAAGTGTGGCCTCATTTTACTCGTATAAATGAACATTTAACACAAAAATATTGTGTTAAATCGCTTGATGTTATGTGTTTTTATATTATTGTCAAGTATCAGTTGCACGTTATCGCGGAAAAATGGTTTCGATGGATTCAGAACTTGCATCAAAGGAAAGAATAGCAAGGAGGTTAAACTCAATAACGGCCCCAACAAAATTCCTAATAATAAAGAACGCCGTTATTGAGTTTAACGACGTTGAACTACAATCCTACTTGTCCTTACGCTCTTTTACAACGTTATCTAAAAGCGTTGAACTCAAAAAATGAGCTGTCAAAAGAGTGCTTTATATTTAGGGCACTGTCATTTAAGCCACTTCAAAGAGCCTTTGTTGCAAGAACAGAAAACAAACAATTATCGTATACAACAGTCAGGGAAATAACGCAGATGCGAGTAGGTAGTAACCAGTTTCACCACCAGGTGGCTCGCTCGGGTCAGATAGCATGGCGGGTATAGTAGAAAGTTCCCTTTAACTTAAATTACATCTGTTGTAGTGGTTCAGTTTTCATATAACCCTTATGTATCTAATAGTTATGCAAATCAAAATATGTCCAGTAAATGAAAATGTTATCTGACCAATACAAGAAAAGATATTTTACTTTTTGTGATTTTGTAACATGGGCTCTATGGAGAATCAACCCGAACTAGAAGTCACACTTTCAAAAATAATTAAATTTTCAAACTTGATAAACAATTTTCGAAACCATATTTCTAGACGTAATTTTACATGTAGATTTCTAATATAACATCGCTTTGACTGGATTTTGAATATTTAATGGCGTAAATCAAGATTTTTTCTACTCGCATCTAGTCAATTGTTCGTAGTATGTTAAAGACCATTGGTCTTGATCCAAATTTATTTGGCGTTCATTCGTTACGTTCAGGCGGTCCAACTGCTGCAGCCAATGGTTCTGTTTTAGATCGTAATTTTAAACGTCATAGACGTTGGAAATCAGAATCCGCCAAAGATGGTTACGTTAAAGACGATTTAATACACAAATTAGGTGTAACAATGAACTTGGGTTTATAAATAAACAAAATATCATAAATAGCATTACTTCTTTCTCTAGTTTTTCTGTAAAGCGACCGCAAGCCATTTGCTTATTCTTAAGATGATGTCATGTTATTTTGTAACGAGGTGTAAAGTATGGTATAGAATAATCATTTATGTTCGGTTGAGAGTAATGAATTAGAACATAAATATTTTCTATTGTGTACTTGTAAACTCGGTTACCAATCAGATTGGCGTGTAGTTTCATGCATGTGTTTGTTTCTGAGTGAGTGAGTTGTATTGTTATTGTGGTAGATTGCTGGATATTTAGGATCATTCTGGCTTTGGTCGCCTATGCATGAACACTTCACAGAATAAAACTGTTAACAAATGCCGATAGGTGGAGGGGTAATTCCATACCTTTCCTAATTGTTAGGTTTTAATGGTGTGAAGGACCCCAAAATCAATCGGTATTTTCATTTTTCATAAACTATGTAAGAAGATTCACACCCTTTTTGGTAAATATAAATCTGATGCAACAATCTGTGTTATATAAAAATTGTACAACACTTTTCTCAAATAAACTTAACTGTTTTGTGCATTCCATTTATACATATATTGTACTTAGTATATGCATTCCATGTGCACTTATATTGTACTTATCCTTCCCATTCATTTACATACGAATAAAGCGACCGCAAGCCATTTGCTTATTCTTAAGATGATGTCATGTTATTTTGTAACGAGGTGTAAAGTATGGTATAGAATCACCAATATACATCATTCCACCAAATATGAAGCACAATCCGACTACTAGTATTCAAGTTATCTTCTGGACGGACGGACGGATGGACGGACGGACTGAATGACGGACGGACGGACGGAGGGCTTCACTATCCCTACAGATCTTCGTTCGTTGGGATAATAACTCACTATATGCTAACTAAAAGTTGGTATTAAAAATATTTGTTGACAGGAAGTGCTAATGCTATTCAAAATGGCCGATTGATATTTGTTGCTTCCCTTAGCTTCATTTCCACTTGACAATATGTTGTGTTACTTTTTATACCATTTAATTGTACCTATTACTACTTAACTAAATCGTTACTATGTTTAGTATTGGGAAGTAAATCTTCCTGAAATTGATAAATGCAAAAAAATTCTCTGTAATTCCCACAGAATAGACGGATCCAGAAGCTAACAAGGGTGGGTGGGGGAGGAGGGAAATTATAATATCAGAAAAATGGGCACAAATTTTGAAATTTAAGGCGCATCTTTTTGATAAGTTGTCCTAAAAAGGCCCAAAAAGGCCAAGTAATGCCAAAAAGGCCCACTTATTGAGGCCCTGCAAAATTTTAGGCCCACCATTTTATTTGGCCCGAATATTTTTTTCTTTGCCCACCCAAAGCCCCATCGCCCCCACCCGATCCGTCAGTGCTGACTTCAACTCAGCAGTCTATCGCACACCCCATTCTCTTAATACGTCCTAGCACCGGAAGTTTACGACGTTGTACAAGTATTTTCGGCGGTGATATGTAAGTACTCATTTGTTTCGACGTTTTGACAGAATATGGTTCATTCATTATTTTCGTAGAAACATTGACCATATCATGCAGATACACCTTTAGTATCACTACGTCTCCACATTTCGTCTGAACACGGTATAAAATCACACAAACCTCGAAAGCACGACAACGTTTTTGAAAAAATGATCATTGTTCACAAAAATCATCATGGTTTCTATAATTCTAACTCTACATGAACTGAACTGAACTGAACACTCCAGTTTCCCAAATCAATGAAAGAATTCCGAGAAATTAATTTTTCTTTGTCAGTGTACGACATAAAGGAGGTATGCGACATTTCATTGTAGATTTTCAATTCCCTGAACGTCGTACTCCTTTTACGTCGTACACTTTCAAAGAAAAATTAATTTCCCTGGAATTATATCATTGATTCGGGAAACTGAAATGTCTGGATGATATGTAAAAATAGTAGTGTTAAGCTTGTCAATATCTCAAGATGATAGGGCTAAAATTGTAGAAACTATGATGATTTTCGTGAAAAGTTATCATTGTTTTTCAAGAAAATGTTGTGCTTTCTAGAAGGTTTAAGAAGTTTTAGACCGTGTTCAGACGAAATGTCGAGACGTAGTGATACTAGAGATATATCTGCATGGCATGATCAATGTTTCTACGAAAGGGAAAGGACCATATTCTGTCAAAACGTCGAAATAAATGAGTTCTTACAAATCTCCCGCGGAAAATACTGAGTATAACGTCGTAAACTTTCGGTGCTACGACGTATAAGAGAATGCGATGTATACCGGATACAGACTAATTCAACACCACCTGACAGTGAATAGCGAAGCGTATAAATATATATCGACTTTTAATATGTCCAAAGGTTGACTGTTATCTGCATTGCACATTGAGCTGTTTACCTGTATTTTGATTTTATATTGGATAGAGTGTGTGCAGGTACTAGAACTAATCTGAATGTTAACTATATATGGGATTAATATTAGATTATACGTATTTTTACAAGGAAGCAATACAACTACAGTAGCAATCATAATTCAGTGGCATATACTGCAGATGATTGCTTTTTATGAATACTGGACAGACTGTTTATATTCTACTTGTTGACAACTTAATATATTGTCAATCATTATTTGTATACGCAGTCATAATTAGGCTTTAACTCGAATTAATGCAAGGCGTAGGGTTGCTGCATTGAGGAAATACAGAATAACATCAAGGTACGGTACATTATGATTCATTATCGTTTAATACTTAAACTACCTATATCAGCCGGAGACATACAAAATACACACGTATTTTAGAATATCCGTACACTCACTAGTACGAGATTGATACTGTCGTACGTAAATGATTGAAATTTGGTGAACTTGACCCCTGCCTTACACGTACATGTTCACATACACATAACTGGCTATATCAATGTTATTTAATAGATCGATATTTAATAACTGCCCGATGGCACTTGTACTTATATATTCAACCAATAAACCCCATGAATTGGGTAATTATTAATCGTATTTATGTATTATTAATTTGTGTTCCATACAAGGCCATACAAGCGATGGCTCACGTTCAAGACAAATATGTTTGTACACTGGACGAAGACACACTGAAGAAGTGCAAAGATGAGTTGAAAGAGGATCCCCGGGAAAGATCAGCATGCATACAGACATTGAGAGACTGGTGTATTGCCCAACCTCATCTCAATTCAAGATTAGGTATCAAAAATGATCAGATAAAGAAAAGACTGGTATCGATATGGCAAACTGAATTGAACACATGTTTCTCTCAAACCAGTCATCAACAAATTTTACACATCGTCAATTTAATGATGACCTTTAATGATGACAATTTGGCAATTCAGTTGTAAACTTTCTCTTGAAAAAATAAATCTTCCAGATTTGTTGAATTTTCTTGCAGAATTCGCCTACTCCCCCCTCCGTTCATTTTGTACGATAACTGTTTTTGTTACCTTTTTATTTTTAGTGCAATTGTTTTTTGTTCCTTTCTACCAATTCTTGGAACAAAATAGTCAGTGACCATTACATATATAAAATACCTTGTTTTTTACAGAATGTTGTCAATAATTGGTTTAAGAGAAAAACAATGTTGAATTTAGTTCGCCATATCGATACCAAACCTTTATGTAGGCTATCGGAACACCGATTGACTGATGTATTTTATATTAAAAGACATCATACTCAGTACGTCGCATCAATTTTCTTCCCTTCACACATGTAGTATACGAGTACAGGGTGTATCAAAAAACGCAACAATCAGTTATCTCGTAAAATCACAAAACTAGTGATGACTACATCAATTTCATTCAATGTACTTTAAAGCCACGTCCCTCCTCTTTGCAATCATATGTCATTTATTCACATGTTGTCATGGTTGGGTGAGAAATCCTTCCACTTACACGGTGGGTCAAAATCGGCTCTGGGCCAAGTTTCAGAAATTGCAAAAAGCAGTGCAAGAGCTAAGTGCCAATCGAAATTCTCCTGACTGTTTTGTTGTGACTTTTTTTGAGCTATCTCAGGAACATCTGTGCTCACCATTCCTTCATTAGATATTGCAAAACTTCGAGAAAGAATTGCCAATGGGCTGCTTTCCTTAGTCTTAATCCACAGATGACTCAGAGCTCAGCCATGAATGACATGGAGAGATGAGGGCATCTTTGTGTGCAAAGAGGTGGTGGCAATTTAGAGGGGTATAAGATGTATTCTTGCAAAAGTATGAGTATAAACACGTTACTGTCTATGTCACGCATCCCATACCTTCTTCCAATATCCTCTGTGCCCCATGAACTGGCTTTTGCAATGTTTAAAACTTGTGTCTGAGCTGAATTTCGCCCCACTTTACAAAATAATGATTATTCGGACAACCATGACTCCCTGTGAATGAATGACATTCCATTGTAAAGAGGAGTAATTTGGGTTTTAGTACATTGAATGAAAAGGATGCAGTCATCATTGGTTTTATGTTTTCTTCCAATATTGCATTGAGCCCCGTGCACTGACTTTTGCGATGTTTATAACTTGTCCCAAAGGTAATTTTGGCCCACTTTGCTTAAGGAATCAATGAATGATATACCATTAGAAAGAGGAGACACATGGCTTTATGGTACATTGAATGAAATCAATGCTGTTATTACTGGTTTTGTGCTTTTTCGAGATAACAATCTGTTGCGTTTTTTTGATATGCACTGTAGATTTAAGTATGTCTTGATAATGCCTGATAATTTCGTAACACTGTGAAATATTTTCATGTAAAGTTCTGGACGAAGGGGCATTTCTCTAACACCTTTGTTTATGTGATAGTACTCCAGTACACAATAATGTTAATTGTTAGTTGATGTAAATTGTAAAAACGACATGCTGTTCAATATTGTTTTAACGAGATGAAATATGATATATTTCATTTCAGATGATGGATTCCTTTTGCGTTTCTTGCGCGTAGGTAAGTTTAGTCAGCTGCGCGCGCAAGAGTTAATTGACAACTATTGGAGTGCAAGGTCAGCTGACCCACAATGGTTCACAATGGACCCACAAGAATCAAAAATGCAAGAACTACTTGATTTAGGGTATGGGTTTCTTTTTATATTTCATGAATGCATATTATATTTAAAACACACACAATATAATTGAATAACTGATCATTATCAAAGACAGCCCTAGGACTTGCAAATAACATTTATATGAAATTCTACTTGTAGAATCTTCATCTCACTTAAAGGAAGGGATTCAGACGGAAGACGCATATATATGACAAATTATTGTCAGTATGACCCGGATGCACATTCTATCGATGACGTCATGAGGTTCAGTATTATGATTATGGAGTACATGACGTCAGATGAGTACATGCAGATACACGGTTGTGTTGTTATAGAAGATGCTGCTGGACTTGGAATGAAACATGTTAAGATCTGGACAAAAGATATAATTAACAAAATGATGAAAGTTTTTCAGGTAATCATGCTGAATTATGCCTGTCATTAGCAGGGGTCAAACAAGTACTAAAAATAATTCACATTTTACACAATCTGAAGTACATCATTAAGCTTAAAGATACAGAGCTAGAATCAAATCAATTATTTTTTTAATACAAAAAAAACAACCAACAAAACTTGGATGAATTGATGAATCTGAAAAAGGGTTTTTGTTTTCTCCATTATCATAAAAATATGTGATGATAACCAGCAGTATTGTCGAGGAAGATATTTAAAGGCATTCCCCGTTCGATTGCATCTGTCAATTTAAGAATTTAACGCGTGTTGAATCATTCCATCGAATGTTAAGTCAATTATTCAAGATTTCAAATGAGTTGGGGATAATGCTTCTTCTAAACCTTGGGACAGCCTTATCATGACATTCTAGGCAGGTTACCAATTTCCCTTAAGTTATTATTCAATTGTACAGTTATATTCTTAATCCACTTTATTCATTTGCACCACTAGTATAGTCAACATCCAAAATGGCCGCCCTTATCAGGTGTTACATCTTTTGTTCAACTTCACTTTTCCGCAGGCCTACGCCACACTAATTTCATCACTAAATTGTGCCCGTGGTAATAATATACTCCTCAAAAAAAGTTAAGGACCAGTGGTTTTCCTCATAGGTTTACATGTTAACCCACATATTTGTTTGAACGACTAAGCGTGGAACAAAAGAAAAACAAAAGAAATCCGAATAAAGTTAATAAATCTGTATCCTGATTCTATTCCGTATAAAGTCCGCAACATTTCAATGTTATATCTCCATTACATTGAGTCAAAATTTGATGTAAAAATTGATGAATTTCATGTTTAAAAAAAAGGCAGATCCCATGTTAAACAAATGGGGAATGGTGGCTTAGGGGAAGCTCAAATTTTGGAATATCTATTCAGTGAAACATTTGTTGAAAAAACTTTCTGAGTAGAAAATCGAATGGTTTTACATTTTACATGCTAAATGTCTAGCTTATATCGGTAAAATTAGCGATATAGAGTAATTTTGACCACCTCACTGACCACCTGTGTTATTTCAATAAGAGGATCCTTAAAATAATTACTGAATTTGAAACCATTAACTTTTGTATAACCTGGAAAATGAAATCATATTTTTGTCCAGTAGACAAAATAGCAAATTTAATTGTCTCTTAAAATTCTAATTTTGAAAGCAATCGGATGGATGGATCATTCCTCATATGACTTATGGCAACCCAACCATTCCCCATTTGTTTAACATGGGATCTGCCATTTTTGTTAAATTTCATGAAATTCATCAATTTTGATATCAAATTTTGACCCAATGTAATGGAGATATAACATTGAAATGTTGCGGACTTTATAGGGAATAGAATCAAGATACAGATTTATTTTCTTTATTGGGATTTCTTTTGTTCCACGTTTAGAAAATAGTCGTTCAAACAAATATGGGGGTTAACATGAGTAAAACCACTGGTCCTTAACTTTTTTTGAGGAGTATAGTTATATTAAGGCATAAATAAGAGTGGCTTAGGCCTGCGGAAGTAATGATCCATTCAAATATATAGGCCAACTCAATACATCAAGTAAGTGAAAACACACACAGCATGATACAAAAAGCAGGTCATATTTGATTGCATCCAATCAATATAAGATTAGAGTGCCTCCAAACTATAAGGGATGCATAAATCATGATATTGTTAAAATATTGAATGTGAATATATTCTTAAACCTCAGAGAAATGATAATTAAAAGAAAAGTATACAATTTTGGCAAAGAAATGGTAAACTCTTGGAATTGCCTGAAAACATATTCTTGGGTTGATTTAATTTCAAAATAAGTATAAGTATGGAATCAGTGAGTTAACACTATTACCTTTATTATTTCATAAGAATTTAACACATGTTCATACATTGGATTTATACCTTGTTTGAAGCGACACTTATAGTTACAGATTCTTTATTTTTTTTGAAAATGTGACTTCTAGTTCGGGAAGATTCCACATAGACTTCATCATACAAAATCACAAAAAGTGAAATATCTTTTCTTGTATTGGACATTACATTAATTACATTTACATTAATTCACATATAATGCCAGTCCAGTTCATTGTATGTATATGTTTAGATTTACTGTTTGTGTCCTACACGCACAGCGTTCAATCAAAAACATTTAAGTATTATCAATTGGAATGAATAATATATCGCATAATGTTCTAACTAGTCTTGTCCCCCCTGATCAACTTTACTCACCAGGTACGTCTTACCACCATAATGCCTTACTAACATAGGCATACTGGGGGGGGGGGTGTACACAGTCTTGGAGCAAGACTGTGTTCTAACGGTTACATTTCCAATATGGCGGGACTCCAAACTCTCAGTAGGTAAAGTAATGGTTTAGTTGCCAATAAGCTCTGTTTACTATAATTTACTAATAATTTAATTATAATAGAGCATTATACATGTATGACACTGAGCTTTTGTGTTGAACAATTTAATTGTGTCTGGTTCATTTTGCAGGATGGATATCCAATGCGACTTAAAGAAATACACTACGTCAATCTTGGACCTGTATTTAACAGTATCTACGAAATATTCAAATACTTCATGAAAGAAAAGTTGAGAAATAGAGTGAGTACTGCCGAGTTTATAATTACTTACTAATTGATTATTATACCGCATTGATATATGTAAATTTGGAATGCTTCTCATGCTTGCTTGTGAGATACTACTTCCACTTACAATTCGTACTTAGATGAGCATATCAAGCGGAAATTGATAGTGAAACAACATTGTACAATACTTTGATATTTTTAGATAAAACTTCATTGGAACAACGACTCTTTGCAAAAAATGGTGTCCAAGAAAGTACTTCCGACTGAGTATGGTGGTGAAGCTGGGCCAATTAAGGAGCATATTAGTAAGACATAAATCATTTAAAACGATGTAATCAGTCTACTATACCTTAGTCCTAGAAATGCTCTGATTGAAGATACTCTGTTTGTCTAATTGTATTGCTTAGTATATTTTTGAAAGTGCCTTATTAATATCTAACAGTCATCCGATAAACCATTAATAAGGAAAAGACGCAAAATGGGTTGCTCATGAACACAAAATGCAAGGTATGGTAGAGTGGTAGTTCGGACGTAGTGCTGATCTAAAACTAGGCGGGGCAAATCTGATTATACTAGATGCGAGTAGAAATAATCTTGATTTACTTCATTAAATATTCAAAATTTAGTTAAAAGGTTTAGTAATTGGACTAGTTACTCCCACTCACTTATCAACACACTTGCCTCAAAGTCAATACAAAAATACCAAATTGTCCTAAAATTGGATCATGGGCCATTTACTTTTCAGAAGAGCCAGTGTGGGGTTTAAGTTAGATAAACGATTCGTACTGGGTCTTGGGAGAACTAATAGCCTCGGGCCAAGGCACTCAGCTTCAATTTCTCATGAAACCCAGGACTCATAGTTTATCCATAACAGAAAACATATGTTCTTTGAAATATGTGTCTCCGTTTGGTTTTATTATAAAAAATTGCGAAATAATCGATACTCATTGGTAAAAATCATGCTCCGGGGTTTTCCAAAATTAGACGATTCCACCCTGTGATAGTACTGCCATTTGACTTCCTTTTCGAATTTCTTGTCTCAAATAATAATTGTCTAAAAACTTGCCATGTAAAGCCTAGCTACATCTGTGTGGAAATGATTTTCCAATAAAACTTTTGATAAAGGGTAAACATGTTATATAATTGGAAATATATATGAACGTGATCTTTAAGTGATACACGCGATCTGATTGGTTAAGAGTATTGAATTATTTATTTTTCAGAGGCTTTCAAAGAAGAGATTGTAGCTGCAAGAGAAGAAATCATGTACAACCAACAAGCGCGTTTCAATGTTGACGAGAGTAAGCGAATAAAAGTTGAAAAAGAAGACAGCGGCTGGGGACTGATTGGAGCATACAGGAAACTGAATATTGAGTGAAACACTTTGAAAATCAGATTAGATATCTATTATAGAACTGTTTATATGGCAATGTAATGTTAAGAAAGGCTTCACAATTCAAATTGAAAACTTGATAATCACTATTAAAACGCTTACAATGACGAATCTTTTTTACTTTTCAACATGGATACAACCTTTCCAACTATTTATTCATTAAACACCACCCAGAGGTTGGGGTATGTACGAGATGTAGGGTGTGTAGGGTGTAAGAGGTACATTACAACTATAAACTTACAATTTTGGGCGCTTTGAAATGCAGGTTATCAAAATTGTACATGTAATATGACGCAGAAATAATTTTGAGGCGAAGTACGCATTTGTGGCAATATTGCTCACGCCTTGTACTTTGTGAAAGTATATATTTAAAAATATTTTGAAATTGTCAATTATTTTTATTTATTTATAACAATTTCATACTTATACTGGACATATAATTATATGAATAAAGCAATAAATACTAAAACAGCAAAAATTGTAGTACGTCCTTTATAAACTATTTATATCCAACTAGCAATCTTCCCGTTAGTGGGTCACTAAAGGTCACAGCAGCCCCCGCATGACAGCAGGTCCTATACAAAGCTATTGATCGCTTGACCTTGACATTTTAGAATTGAGTTGAACTTGTCCAAAGGCCTTGAAACGCCAAACACCTAGATATTCACATTTGACCTTGAGATGACCTAGGCCAATGAGAGCTGTTTTATGTAAATATCTTCCTTCTTTTTATCCATCTAGCTATTTACATTAAACAGAATGACAATTTGAATCGTGACATTGACTCTCATGAACTGAACACTGTATGGAACTCAATACTGGAGTTAGACCACTGACTATCTCCTGTACGTTACCTGGTGGATAGTAGAAGAACCACACAGAAGAGCCCGAAGAAGATAACTGAAGGTTGTTGAAACCGTTGCTTGAGTAATTCACTGAGAAGTATTTACTTGGTTGTAGATAAAAGAGTATATTACCATTATGAACGATTCCAACCAAAAGAAGCTATTCTTTATTGTATATGGCGGGCCTGTTGCATGTAGTGCACCGAAGCTGAACTTATTACACCTACTCACTTCTTAACACACTTACCTCATAGTCAATACAAAAGAAATCAAAATTTCCTAAAATTGGACCATGTACCTGCCAAAAGAGTCAGTGTGAGGTTTAAATAAGATAAACCATTCGCAAGATATTTTTTCAGGCGTGATTATTGGGATTTATAGGAAGGTCATCTACTTGAAGGAGAGAGTAAACTTTGAAAAATTGTCACAATCTTGTTACAAATTATTTTATGGCATGCCTATTTTCCAAAAAGTGTGGAACAATTCTGACTTTTATTTCTGAAATTGCAGGATCCACAGCCCGTTGTATCCCTAGAAGTCTCTGTACTTTTGTTGTTCACTTGACGTCACTTGTACTTTATTTTGTATTCTTATAAATTCGTGGCTGTCAGTGTTGTAAAATACTGTACAAAACACCACCTGACCACCCTGACAGTGAATAGTGAAGCGTATAATGGATCTTGAATACATGAAAAGGTTGATCATGCATCTGCATTTAGAGTTGTTGTTGAGAGTTGTTTACCATTTTTTGCTTTTATATATTATAGAATGTGTCAAGGTAATGTAGAACTTAATGTGATGTTTATTGAATTGAGGTAAATGTTTAACAGGGAAGCAACACAATTGCAATAGTAAGCATATATTTATTATATGGCGTGTATTTAGGTTGTTGATTTTCATGAAGACTGGATAGATTATATTATTCTGCTCGTTGACGGTTAATCGCATCGTATAGGCAGTATAATGATTAGGCTTTAGATGTAAGTGTGTAAAATTTGATTTTTTGCAGTCCACATTGGAGTTCCTTGTTATTTTCAGGAACACATAACTCATTCCATATATATCCTGTCTACATCGTTCACTTTCGCACATGGAAAAGTGAAATTTGTGCTTATTTATTTTCACAATTATGCATTCATTTGTCTATAAAAGATGGTTACTTAATTATTTGGCAGATTTTAATGTACAAATTACATTTTTTGCATTTTGAATCTCAAAGTAATAACTTCACCAATTTATATCGTATCGTAGAACTTTTGGGAGACGTTATATTTGAGATTGTAAGGAATATATCGGTAGGTCAACTGTACACGTTGCTGGCAATTTTGTCACTCCATGAAGATCTGATTGTCCCTTTAATATGTGTTTTATATGATCAATAGATGGCTCATGTTCAAGACAAATATGTTTGTACACGGGAAAGGTCAGGATGCATTCAGACATTGAGAGACTGGTGTATTGCCCAACCTCATCTCAATTCAAGATTAGGTATCAAAATGATCAGATGAATAAATATATGTAGGATATCGGTACACAAAATTCCTGATGTACTTTATATCATCAGAAGTCAACACAGTCTCAGTACGTTGCATAACTTCTCTTCTCTTTGCACCTTTTGTTACTTGTGAATTGACGTGTGTAGAGTTACGACTGGATAATGCCTTAGAAATTCATGAAAGCTCTGTGACATACAATCCCCTCCATAAGTTTGGCAACCTTAGCTCCCCATTGAACTATATGTTAAAACCTTTGAATTTTTATTTACTTAACCTGCGATGAAAATACTTATACTATTGATGGAAACGTAATTTGACTTTATTTCCAACAAAAACCTCTCCCATTGAAATAACACAGGAGGCAAAAAATGATTTTCAAAAATGACTTTGAAGCTCTGTAACTTTAGTATTCATCAAATATTTTTTACTGATCGTTTACTATAGATATCCTGATTTGCCCCGAACCCACCATTTCCCATTGGTTTACAAGGGAATGACAATTTATCTTTGTATTACTTATTGTAATTGAGGAAAAAATTTGGAAAATTTAGAGGTATTGGAAATAAAGTCAAGTTACGTTTCAATCAATATTATAATTTCATCGCAGGTTTAGTAATTAAACACCCAAACGTAAAGAGGCTTTAACACTCAATGGGAGAGCTAGTGTTGCCAAACTTATGGAGGGGAGGGTATTTTCATGAAAATCTCTGGACCAAAGTGTATTAATGCTTTAACACTTTTGTTGATGTGATTGCACAGTAGCACACAACAATGTTAGTTGTTAGTTGATGTGAATTACAAAAACTGCATGCTGTTTAATATTGTTTTTACAAAATGAAATCCATGTTTTTTTTTATTTCAGATGATGGATTCCTTTTGCGCTTCTTGCGTGTAGGTAAGTTTATTCAGCTGCGCGCGCAAGAGTTAATTGACAACTATTGGAGTGCAAGGTCAGCTGACCCACAATGGTTCACAATGGACCCACAAGAATCAAAAATGCAAGAACTACTTGATTTAGGGTATGGGCTTCTTTTCATATTTCATAAATGTACATTCTGCATTATGTTTGAAGAACTCACACATAATACAATTGTATCATCTATCACGAATACAACCCTATACTGCAAATGGTATTTATATGAAATTATATTTGCAGAATTTTCGTCGGACTTAAAGGAAGGGATTCAATCGGAAGACGCATATATACGACAAATTATGGTCAGTATGACCCGGACACTTGCTCTGTCGATGACATCATGAAGTTCAGTATTATGATCATGGAGCACATGACGTCAGATGAGTACATGCAGATACACGGCTGTGTTGTTATAGAAGATGCTGCTGGACTTGGAATGAAGCATGTTAAGGTCTGGACAAAAGATGTTATGAGCAAAATGATGAAAGTTTTTCAGGTAACTTATTTTTACAATGTGTAGAAGGAATAAACTGAAAAATGTTGTTGTCTCATTGATGTTATTTCAAAATAGTAAAAGTTTTGCAAGTGATTTTAGACGGTCTATCTTTCACCCATAGTGTAGTACCCATACTAGTAAAATATCAATCAGACTCTCTGAAAAATTATGGATTAGGACCCCAACTTGGCACTTTTTTTAAAATGTTGGGCTCATTTTCTTAAAAGAGGTTCTCGTTTTTCTTTTGGTCATTGAAATTGATATATTCAAAACTAGACTTTCAATACCATTCTACTTTTGAAGAAGTTTTAGACCCTTAGCTGAATAATATTTTCATGCAATGAAAATCAGAAAAAGATCCTTTTTGAGTAAAATAAGTTCAACATTTTGAAAAAAGTTCTGACAAGGGGTCCCTACTCAAAATTCGATTTTTTCGACTGATATTTCAGTCCTATATTCACAGTTTAAAACATATAATTTTGGCGGAGGGATGGGATTGTGTTTTTGGCTACAGAGTACTTTCAGGAACTATATTTACAGTTTTAAACAGAGAAATTTAGGCGGAGAGATGCGATAGTGTTCTTGAGTCGTTATATGCAAAGAATTACATTAGATTGAGATTTTGTAAAGTGAGGTTTTGTACAGTACCAGACCTACCTTTACTACTGGTACTACTATGTCTAGTACTACATTGTGTCTCAAAAAGTTACACTTACAAAAAGTTCAGTATTATTCATAATTTTGACTTTTCCCCTAAAATATACTTTGGATACCAAAAGACAAATCTCTTTTGAAAAATTTGACACCATCAGATTCAAAATCTGTCCTTGATTGGCTCCAAGGGACAGCTTTTAGTGTCCCGTGGTAAAATCTGACCTGCGCCAACTTCTAAGTGGTTGGATGGACCAAATGACAAAAGAGGAACAGTTTCTTTAACATTTAACTTTCTTCTGAGTAGAAGCCTAACCTTTAACTGTCATCCTGTAATTTTCCTATTTGTCTTACATAAGATCATTGGGTCTATCCACATAAACATGTGGTCCCCTCAACATGTTCTCCAAAGCAAATCTGAGGTACCCTTGCCCATGCGCACATGCATTGTAATATCACTCTGATTCCATCAATTATTTTTGCAGAAGTTCATTTAGGTCAGTTTGTGATGCTGCAAACCGCTTTCAGAGGCCCTTCAAAAAACCAAGGGTGGAAAGTGGGATGACCCTGGGGGCCAGTCCATTGGGTAATTCAATGTTATCTTCTGATTTCCAAAGAGTTCTACCAAACGATCTGCCACAGGCCTTTGCAACATCCTGTTGACATCATACATAACAAAATTGAACACTCTGACAATGAAATCTTGTATTTCTATCCAGGAAAGAAGCAACTGGATCATTGATCATATCAAGATATCACTGTCCACGCACAGTATTCACACCAAAAAAGAATTGATCACCACATGTCCAACCACTGAGAAGTTGGCGCAAATCAGATTTCACATGCGTCTATAAAATCTGTCCTGTGCAGCCAATCATGGACGGATTTTGAATCTGATGGTGTGGATTTAATCGAGAAAGACTGGTCTTTTGGTATCTAAGTATATTTATGGGGAAAAGTAAAAATCATGAAAGATATAGAACTTTTTGTAAGTATAACATTTTTTGAGACACACTGTAGCACTACTGCTATATCATGCGTTTAATTGTGTATTGTTCATTTGCAGGATGGATATCCAATGCGACTGAAAGAAATACATTACATCAATCTGGGACCTGTATTTAACACTATCTTCGAATTATTCAAGTACTTCATGAAAGAAAAGATGAGAAATAGAGTAAGTATAGTACATACAATGTATGTAAACGGAGAATTCCATCCATTCTTTGTAGTGAAATACAACATTCTCCTTCAATTCGTACTTAGATGAGCATATCAAACGGAAGTGGATATACCATGTAGTAAAGCGATTTGTATTGAGTCTTTAATATTTCAGATAAAGCTTCACTGGAATGACGACTCTTTGCAAAAAATGGTGTCCAAGAAAATACTTCCGACCGAGTATGGTGGTGAAGCTGGCCCGATCAGAGAGCACATAAGTGAGTTATTAATTATGTAAAACTAAGTAATTCGGATATGGGCATGATCGAAAACTAAGCGGGGCAAATCTGAACACAGGAATCATCAAGCATGAATTTGCTGTAAGTCAGTTCTTGTATAATATGAAGTTATTGAAAAGTTGTTGTGTGATAAAGCTTTTAATAAAGGATAGAATATGTCATACAGGGGCGGATCTGGGAATCAACAAAGGGGGGGGGCCCAAATTTCAAGTCAGAGAAAAAACCGTCCGCGCTTGCGCGTAAAAAAATTTTGGGCCCCTAAAACCCAAAAGTGGGCCCAAATTTTGAGGCCCATTTTCTTCAAAATTTGGCCTGAAATTAAAAAATAAGGCCTTTAAAGGCCCAGTAATGACCAAAAAGGCCCACTTTTTGGGGCCTGAAGGCCTTTTTTGGCTCAAAATTTTTTTGGCCCCAATTTTTTTTTCTGGGCCAACCCAAGGGGGGGGGGGGGGGGGGCCGGGCCCCCAGGCCCCCCCCTTATCCGCCAGTGTCATATGGGGGTAAACAAAATACTTTTACACGTGATCGATCTCCAAAACCTCTCGACAATCTGATAAACCACACAAGTGCATCATAAGATGAACTAATTAGTTTATCATTATTCCAATTCAAATATGATCTTTTATTATTAAAAACCTTAGTAGATAAGCGATCTGATTGGTTAAACGTATTGAATAATTTATATTTTAGAGGCTTTCAAAGAAGAGATTGTAGCTGCCAGAGAAGAAATCTTGTACAACCAACAAGCGCGTTTCAATGTTGACGAGAGTAAGCGAATAAAAGTTGAAAAGGAAGACGAAGGTTGGGGTTTGATGGGCGCATACAGGAGACTGAATATTGAGTGAAAGATTCGAAAATCAGATTTACATATCAATTGGAACTGTCTAAAAATATAAATCCAATTGCAATGTTAGATCAAGACATGAAAAAGGCCTTCTTTCAAAATGTAAACTTGAAAATTATTATAACAACGATTAAAATGACAGATGTATATCTTTTACTTTTCAAAATGCATAAAATTGTACATTTACATGTAGAGCAATTGTGATTATTTAGTATATAGACTATTTTTATACACTTTTAGGTGCTTTAATTTGAAGTGACGCAGAAATAATTTTGAAGCAAAGTGCATAAGGATCAAATATTTTGTACTTTTCAACTTTTGTAAAAGTTAGTTTTCACATTAGTTAGATCTAAACATACCGGTGTAAAGGGGTAGGTGGTCCTATCAGATTTTGGTTCTACTCTCTATTGATTAATCACAGTTATTTTCCTTATTATTTATACACAGTCAGGGCCAGTAAGGGCCGTAAGGAAAGGGGACCATAATCCCCAGGGGACCATAATTTCTTTTACACCGGCACTGACAGAGATGAATGTTGCAATTGAAATGTATTTATATAACACTCAAACATTTTCAGAACATAACTCAAAATATTGTTCAAAATATGTATAAACGATAACAAATTCAACAAGCTAAACCATAATAGCAATGAATGAATCATCTGCTCTGTTGCTAATTTGAATTCTAGCTCTGCCATCATTTCCAACATAAATTGTCTTTCCAGAGCAGTTTCCCTTGCCATTCTGACCTGACACGATATCACAATATGTGCCGGCTGGAAGTCCAGTTTGAAGGGTCACATCCATTTCACGGTCTTCATTGTTGAAGGCAATGAATGCCTTGTTTCCCCTTGAGAAGGCGACCTGCTGCCAGCCGTTGTCCCACCAGTTTCGTAGTGGTTCGTTTTGTGACTTGGCACCAAAGCTAACCATATTGTATATTTGGCGCCACCTATGTTCGCAAACCCAGCCATCTCCGCATGTATTGTCGGCATTGATAGGGACTGATTTTGTGTTTCCTCCATTGGACGGCGGCCCAATCCAATCATTTTTGTCTTTTCCTAAATATAGTAAATACGCATCCTCATAAACTCATCGCAACAAAACAATAAAGCGAAATTGATTTAGTACGATAATGTTAAGTATTATTGGATATGAAGTTTTATAATTTTTATATGCATCACAATATGAGTAATTAGTAATTACTTTGAACTGTGAATTCTTAATGACATGTTCATATTGAACTGAAGAAGTTTGTTGCAAAATATGTTTTGACTTGTGATACAGTACCTCCTTGAATATTCCTTTGCCAGCTGTAACTGCTCATGATCCTCACAGTACCATACGGGAATGCCATCATGAAAGCATTGGCCATCTTATACATCTTGGAGTCCGCATGAGTTAAGATTGATCCATATCCACCAGCTCCATGTCCTCGCTGGTTATCATGGTTATCCACAAAGACCAGTGAATCACCACTCCTTAGCATTCCCCACCCCTCTCCAAAGTTACGCAAGTACCTTAAACGCTGGCCATTGTTTTTTCGAATGACGTCACCAAGTTCTTTTCCATACTTGAACTCTGTGACCTGCCCAAGATGAGTGTAGTCAGTGCCCTTGATTGGTTCGCCACCCATGTCAATTACTTCTTGGAAGATAAAAGGTCGGCTGTTGCTTAAGAAGTAGCGACTGTTGAGGTTCTTTAGACGGCTGTATATGTTTTGGAGATCTCCAGGCCACATGTGTTTGACTGCGTCCACTCTGAATCCTGCCATTCCCATGTCTATGAGATTATTAATGTAGTCCGCAACCTTGCCTCTTACATAGTCTTTTCCTGTAATTTCGCACAAATAGATAACAATTAATGCAATCTGTGCAAACGTAATATCAAATGAGGCAAAATGGAGTGAACAATTTGGATTGTGTGTCAACTTTTTCAAAAAAATCCAAAAATTATTAGTATTTTGTGAAATTGTTTTCTAAGGACTTCTGGAAATATGTGCCCTTTGCAATGAACATTAGGCTGCGATGAGGCAATTCTAAACTAAGCATGTCTATGTACATGTCTGAGGATCATAGCTTATGTTATTTCCAAAGTACCTAGTCGGAGATCTCTTAGTCCCAAAAGACGGCAGTTTCTCACTTGGTTTGCATCGTTGTAGTTCTCAATGTTCCCACTGCCTGTATTGCACACGTCACGTCCATTGAAGTCACCTGACCCAAATGGCACTGCCGGGTAACTGTGTAAGATATAAACAACCCAGACTGTCAAGATATTGAAGGGGACATATGGACTATCCAATAGCTGGATTTACACTACACTCCCAAGAGGTCTTACGAAACATTAATACGTCTTTTAAAAGATTGTCATGTAAATCCAGAGTTTCTCACACTGAGACGTCTTACAATTATTTGTGAACAAACCATTCCAGAAATTACCTGAGACTGTCAGCGTTCCAGTAACTGCCAGAACTACCTTGTCCTTGACCTCCACCGGTCATGTGGTTGATAACAAGGTCAGCATATATCCTGAAAATATACACATGCCCGATGTCAGAAGAATTTGAAAAAGCATTTGATACAGTCTTCATTAGCTTTAAAACATTGGAAAATACTCACAGTTATGGTTCAATCATCCTCCTAAGCAGGTATCCAGAATCCGTACCTCCTTCTTCCCCTGCTATAACCAATTTGAAAGCGCCCGATTAAACTGAATCACGTAATCTATGCGCAATGACACGCGGTACTAACTTCGACCGTTAATTTGAATTTTTGACCTACCAGGTGTTTGAAAATCAAGGATTGCGAGTCTCATACTGCACCCCTTTTCTTCAAACTTGTTCCATTCAAAGCAAAACAAAATTGCTTTTCTGTTGGTACATTGCTTTATTGTAAAGAGTCCCTCGTTTGAGCAGCGTTTTGGTCCCCAGTTGTGAGAAGCCCTTCTCACAGCTGGGGACCCAAATGCCGCTGAAAGTAGGGACTCTGTATAGCAGAATAATGTACCAACAGAAAGGCATTTTTGTTTATGCTTTGAATGGAACAAGTTTGAAGAAAAACGGTGCAGTATGAGACTCGCAATCCTTGATTTTTCAAACATCTAGTAGGTCAAAAATTCAAATTAAAGGTCGAAGTTAGTACCGCGTGAATGACTTATACATGATTTCTGTCGCAGTGTTGCGACAGCCAATCAGATTGCGAGTTTCTTAATCGGGGAAATGCTAATTGCTTATCGCAGGGGGTAAAAAGGAAGAATATATTCTGGATTTTGAAGCCCTGTGTGATCGGAGGATGTAGGTGCAGGTGCATTTACAATGTTACGTTGAATTAAAGACAAAATCTTTATTTCTGTTATGATTTCGAAAAGAACACCATGCTTATTTTTATACAAATTTTATAATTTCGAATATTTTTCACCATGATTGGATTCCTCTTCGCAATATAGGTAATTCACAAAATGAGATATATCAGTTCCCTTTCATGTGCTATATAATAAGTGTCAGTTTATGACATTTGCAAAACTTAAGATACGTCCATATTCGTATTCGATATCTAAGAATTACATGACTCCTGCTGTTGATATTCTTTTGCGTACATTTTTGAGACACCCTGCAAGTGTCAGTTTATTACATTTGCAAAATTGTAGAAACGTCCATATTCATATTCAGTATTTAAGAATTACCTGACCCCTGCTTTGTTACACCTTTCCACCATGTCACGGAGTTCTTGTTCATTGCCACTTCGGCTGTCTAGTTTGTAACTGACTGGCTGGTAACGCTGGTACCAAGGTCTGTAGTCCGGACTATCTATAATCCTGTGCTCATTGGGTGGGGAGATCTGAGTATATAATGGATAACATGCCAGTATATCAAAATATAAGTTAACTTTGGAATGTAGATGTTATAAAATATAAGTTAAAATTAAGAGCCAAATTCTCATTCTTATATATATATATTTTAATTTTTTTTATATTCTTCCTGGAGATCTAATCAAAATTGTACTTGGTAGCGTTCGAGAGGGACAAAAAGAGGGGGCCAGGAATCAGGATGTACCTTGAGGAAGGCACAGTCATAACATTGGCATATATCAACTTGCCTTTGTGAAAACATAAATTGATCTGATTGATCGATTGTATTAGAGAAATTGAAATTGGGAGTCGTGAAAATTTTATAAATTCAACTATTATTTTTGCTTTTCATTTTTCACAATTGCCTGAAGATTTAAAAAGTCACTCTCTTGATTGTTATTATTTTGCCAGGCAGATGAAACCATCATTTGAGTGATCGTAAAAGAAAGTAAGATATGTCACTAACTAATTCAGTACAATCGTCCAAAACTCTGCGAATTTCTCTTTTTAATTTACCTGAACTCCACAGAAATTCTTAGGTCCTAACCACCTCTCGCACTCGGCGGCAATATCTGCCCATCTCCACTCGAACAAGTGGACAATTCCGAACCTTCCATTGTGACAATGGGGGCTCTTGTTTGCTAGTGTGGCACCAAATAGCAACGCTACGATCAACAGCGTACAACCTTGCATTTTGTTTGGTGAATTTGGAGGCTGGTCAGGAGGTTTAGTTATATATCTATTGATAATGACCATCCTTTCAGATAAGATATTTTGTACTTCGAAATGTAGATGTTATCTCTGTATTTGGTTACATAAAGCTTGCTTACATAATAAAGATTCGAAAGGCGAAGAAGGGACCTCCTGAACTGTTATTGGTTTAGCTTGTTTTGTGATAATGTTTTTTCTTGTATGATCGGCTAATTCGAAAACTGATTGAGTACTCTACATACTCGTCATGTATTTGTAGAAAATAATGAAATTTCAGTCTAAAAGGAAGAAAAGAGATGGACAGTGTAAAGTTTTGGAAACTATCTTCAAAACTTCGTCTCGTTCCAATACGGAATTTTCTCTCGAGCAGAATATATCCTGCATTGTACTTCAAATCATTCAATAACTTATAGTATGATCTTGAGAACTGACTTTGGATTTTAACTTCATATTGCGTTTGGTTCTAATATCACTAAAAACAAGAGGCGAAACAAATTATTCGCTAAACCATAATCGTGAAATATATTATGCTGCCTTATTGTGTCAAAATGAATGCATAGCCCTCAATAACTCAGTATCTGCCATGTATGAACATCAAAAATAAATTTTTTCCAGTACTTTTTATTCACATCTAAAACTGAATTTAAACTAAAATCCAAAATAATATAGATACATTTTACAAGTTATCTAAAATAATATTAAAGTCTAAGTCAATGCATTAGGAATGAGCATTTTTGCTATAATTTGCAATAAAACTTTTTATCCACAAAACAGCGATACGTTGCAAATGGAGTCCTTCTGTCCCAAATGAATTTGTGATTCAATAATTTTTTCTTCAATTGATTTAGTTTTTAAAGCTAGAAAACAAAATTCCAATGAGAATTTATCATTACACAATCTATTCAATTTTTCCATCGGAAAATATTTCAGTGGGTGATTACCTATATAAGTGAACAACCAATGTCAAATCATAAACCAATGAAAATCGAGTGACCATTGTGGTTTTATAAGCATTGCAACCATGTAATTTTCTATCCAGTAGTTATTGTATATATATACTCAGGATTAATTTCAAATCAGTTTACTTACAGATGGTTAAGAGAAAAGATCTTATAAGGAAATGGAATTCTGTTATCATAAATCTCGATATAGATTCAAGTGGTGATAGTGACTAAAATTTAGTAAGATTGTGTTAAGATTTCTAGTTGAGTACTTATAAAAAGCTTTAGTCTACCTTTGAGATGGTCCCTTGTAGTGCATAGACCTGCATACCTTTATGCAAATGAAGTGCAACTGTAATAAACATACTTATTCCCCGATTTACATATTTTTGATCTTTGTTTACATCATGTTAAATTCTCATTGGAATTTTGTTTTCTAGCTTAACAATTAAATCAACTGAAGAAGAAATTATTGAATCCCACATGCATATGGGACTAAGGCAATTCATTTGGAACATATATATTGCTATTTTGTGGATAAACATTTTTTATGGCAAATTATAGCAAAATGTTCATTCCTAATGCATTGACATAGACTTTAGTATATAAATCTGATATACACTGTTTATAATGTCAATTCAATATAAAAATACAGAATAAAAACGACATCTATTCAAGAATGATGTCAAGTCTTGTGTATCCTCGTGTTATTTCGTCCTCCCTACGTATGTGTTCGGCGAAGCTGGATGGACAAATGTAAAGTTGTTTTATTTTCGACAGCAACAAGAAAAAATGTTAAGAACGGAGCTCCGTCGTGTTGTGTCTGTGGGTTTAGTTGTGTCTGTATTAGTGGGTTTAGTTGTGTCTGCATCAGTGGGTTTAGTTGTGTCTCTGTCAGTTGGTTTGGTCGTGTCAGTGTCATTGGGTTTAGTTGTGTCCGTGTCTGTGAGTTGAGTCGTGTCTGTGTTAGTGGGCATAGTTGTGTCTGCGTCAGTGGGTTTAGTTGTGTCTGTGTTGGAAGGTTTAGTCGCGTCTGTGTCAATGGGGTTAGATGTGGCTGTGTCGGTGGGCTTAATTTTGTCTGCATCAATGGGTTTAGTTGTATCTTCTTCAGCGTGTGATTCATCACTTGATGAGGGTTCTACGTCGTCCTCTTTTCCGGGTGCAGGAACAGATTTCAATGTAAACATAGCGTTGGGTAAATGAATCGGCTCTCCCTCCTTTCCTGGCCTTAGTCCCAAAGTAGTCCGCTGTTTTGGATTAGCTCCAGCAAGTAGATTTTCGAAAAGTATTAAATCTGAAAAATGATAAAAGTCTGCAAGTTTTTAAATGAACTAATTAAACCCACCCACTTCTCAATACACCAGTAAATACAAAAGAAATTCATTTTTTTCTAAAATTGGACCATGGACCATATTTAGCTTTCATGAGAGTCAGTATGGGAACAGAAAATAAATTCCATTTATTAAGTTTTCAGTTTGAAATACTTGTAAGGTTGAAACTGATTAACAATATGTAAATGTACATACACTCCCCTCCATAAGTTTGGCAACCTTTTTCCCCCATTGAACTACGTGTTAAAGCCTCTTTACGTTTGAATTTTTATTTACTTAACCGGCTATGAAATAACTTATAATATTAATGGAAACGTAACTTGACTTTATTTCCAATACCTCAAAATTTTCTCAATTTTTTTCCTCAATTACAATAGGTCGAAAATTGATGATAAATTTGATGAATTTTTGAAAATCGTCATTCCCATGTAATCCAATGGGAAATGAAGGGTTCGGGGCAAATCAGAAATCAGGATATCTTTTCAGTAAAAGATTCAGCAAAAAATATTTGTATATAGAAAATTGAATTGTCTAACTTTTTTGAACACTAAATGTTTAGTTTATTTGATGAATAGTAAAGTTACAGCGCTTCAAAGTCATTTTTGAAAATAATTTTTCGCCTCCTGTGTTATTTCAATGGGAGAGGTTTTTTGAAAAACAATTTTGACTTTAAAGCCCTATAACTTTGTTGAACCTGAAGAAACATATCATTTTTTTGTTAAATAAAGTTAGCAAATTCAATTGCCTGCCTAACTCGTATTTTTTGCAAGGACTCGGATGGATGGATATTCTGTCATATGACTTGCGGCAAACCTACCATTTCCCATTGGTTAACATGGGAATGTCGATTTTCAAATATTCATCAAATTTATCATCAATTTTCGACCTATTGTAATTGAGGAAAAAAATTGAGAAAATTTGGAGGTATTGGAATTAAAGTCAAATTACGTTTCCACCAATAGTATAAGTATTTTAATCGCAGGTTAAGTAAATAAAAATTCAAAGGTAAAGAGGCTTTAACACGTAGTTCAATGGGGGGAAAAGGTTGCCAAACTTATGGAGGGGAGTGTATGTAAAACAAATGATCATGGATAAACTATGAATATTTGGTTTTAGAATAAATAATCGCTAGGCCAAGGCTATCAATTTTCCTAAAACCCAATACGAATCGGTTATCTAACTTTAACCCCATACTGACTCTCATGAAAGCTAAATGGTCCATGATTCAATTTATATATAGACCTAACCTCGATCATCGTGGACACGGAAGATTGCTTTATCATCTTCTTTTTCAATAATGAAAAAGCGTTGACCTGGAACTCGCTTTAATGCCTCGTCAGGACCATGTTCATATTTCTGAAAACCATCGTCAAATTCTTTAGCCTAATTGTTCGCAATAAACACTTCATGACAATTAAATATAACATTTTCCCCATAGAAGATAAAGTATATAGAATATATCACCATGTGTTGGATGAGGATTGTGATGATGTTATGCTGAGAGCTTTCTGGTAGAAACAAATCCGCCTCTGAAGTGAACTTATCTTCTAAAACTTAATAAATTTCTATGATACACCTGATGATGATATCCGTGCCTCGACTTCAAAAAGTCCGAGGGAATCAGTGTTAATTAAACAATGTCATAACCTGGCCTACCTTAAGTGTGATCGGACCCGTGGTTCCATCAGGAAGTACCTCAAATGCGACATATCGATCTATAGCAGGAGAATACGCAGCAACAGCTTGCATCACCGGTGGATTGGGTTCGTCAATAGTTGGAGCTTCGTGATAATCGTACGAATATATCTTAAAAGTGGCTAAAATGAATTTAACATTTTTGAAGTTAAGTTAACTCCTCAATATAAAGTATTACACTTTTAAAAGTGGGGTAAGCCATAGGCTAATAAACACACATAAGATATGATTTAGGTTGTTAAATTGGACCAACAACAGAACCACACAGGGCAAGAACATAACAAGTTAAAACTCTAATAAAAGGGTGGATTGTTTCACTGGGTATTATTCTAATATAGTTTTGTAAAATGTTAAATTGTAGCAAATGATGATTCAATACTGCATCAAACTTACGATCGTTTAACAAATCTGACTGAATTTCTGAGTTTTTATCAACTTCATCACTTGCTGCTTTTGACAGCCTCTTCTCCATGATTTTTGGGTTAACTGCCAATAGTTTAAATCCATCTTCTGTTTTCGTGGTCGTCACAATATTCCCACTGTGTGTCTGAAAAAACAAACCTGTCCATAAAATCGTACTAAAAAGGCATGAAAAAGTTAAATTTTTTAATGAATTGTTTTTTTTCTCGATGTCTTTACTTTATATCAAACAATAGACAATATAATTATATATGTATAAGTGGCACTAAGGAGTGGAATGATTATAGCTATTCCGATAACCGAATTTTAATTCAAATTTTTGTTAAATATTGCATATTTCCAGACATTACAGTCTATCCTTTGTTCATATCCTTTATGTATGCACGTCTGTATCTTGATGGTATAAATGTGTACAATAATTTTGAATGGTATTTTTTATCATCATTGAAACAAAGCTGGGTTATACTCACAAATATATGAAAGTATCCGAAGTGAGGCTGTGTTTTCGAGGGTGTCAAATTAGGGTATAAGATGCTAAAGGCGAATTCAGAAGTTTCCGCGACGACTTCTGTTGAAGATGGCGCTACTGCTATGTAATAGTCTAGAAATAATAGGATTCCATTTGAGAAAGACGACAAACTAACCACCTTAAGTGTTTTTCGAATCGTAGTAACAAGAACAGTGAATCTAGTCAAGAACTTGGAACCACCATTTGATTCAAATCGAAAAAATCAAATGAAGACGAAAAACAAAACTCAGTTTCTTTTGTTGCTTGATATTTTACAAAAGCCGAGTCTCGCAGATGACCTGTTTAATCAATTGTACCTTTCTTTTGTGTGATTCAATCTGATAAAATGTTTATGATTGCACACCCCTTCCCTCCCTAAATTTGGCAACCGAAAGCCTCGTTTGAGCACAGCCTGTTTTTGTTTGGTAATTCAAAAAACCGTGGGTACTGAACTCACATTGTGTTGCTCAAAAACAGAAAGTTGAATGATGGCTAAAATGGCAGAAAACAAAAGAGCAGATATGAATTTTTCTTACAAAACTATCTCATTAGTACAGCTTTTCACATTGACATGAGTTTTTACAATGCGGGACACCTGAAATTAGTTATAAAGCTACTGAATGGTCAAAAATGAGTTTTAAAGTGGCAGACACTTCAAAAAGGGCGAGCGTTGGAATTTGAACCTGGACTCATAGGAGGGACTCCTGTATTTATCAAAAAGGAACCAAAATAATTAAAACTAAAATGGCTTACAATAAAAAAGAAAATATGATTTTTGCAGATCTTTACAACAAAAAATGACGGCCATTTTGAAAAAAATAGGCGAGCTTTTGAACCAGAAGTCATTGGGGGGGGGGGGGGGGTTTCTGTATTGATGTTGAACAAAAATAATTTAAAACAGGAATCGTGTCGACAGAAGTTTTAAAACATGCCACTATTGTGGTCTGACTGAGAAACAGATGGACAAATTAATGATAGGCTAACTAAAATGGCTGAAAATAAAAAAGGGATATAATCTTTTTGCAATTCATTGTAACACAATTTCATAAAAGTAGAGTTCGCGAGACAAAATGGAGAAGCTTTTAAAACAGGAGCCATAGCGGCAGGAGGTTCTGTACAGATGTTGAACAAGAATTGTTTAAACGGGAATCCCATCGACAGAGGTTTAAAAACATGCCACTATTGTTGACAGACAGACGGACAAGTGAGTGCTTGCGAAAGCTCATTGTGTATTAAAATTTCAGAACTATTTAAGGAACAAATTGAAATTCCATATCGACATGCTTTGTTATGCTATCCACTGAACACTTCCGGTGTCAAGTTTTATTGGGGGCGGGGGGGGGTGGATGTGTCGCGGATATATTTTCTCAGATGTACTTCTTTTTCAATTATATACCACGGTGTTTACAGTATTCTTCCCACAATGTAATCCTCAACTCACCAATATGTTCTCCCGCTTGGAAGATGTTCTTATTCGAAGAAGGGCTAAAGCTGTAATAGAACCTCTTGTCTGCTACCCTGGTGTTCTCGGGTGGTGGAAAGGAATCTACTCTCTACAAGTAAACCTCATATTGTAGCAATAAAATTCAATGAACTGAGGTTTATCTTAAAAAATATACAGTTGTAACAAAGAAGGGTGCATTATTTTTCTATTGTTTTTAACAGAATTGATACTTGGCAAGCTACAGTATCCAAAACCGTGGTACAAAAGACAATTAACTGTCACTTGCAGTGCAATAAAGCTGAACTAGCCTACTTATACCCATTCTGATACTCATAGCATCTCTCTCTGTTGCATCGCAGATGATAGAGGATAGAGATGGAGAGGGCGTGGATTACCACGATGACTTATACCATATTCACTCATTCAATAGTTGAACAGAAAACAAAAAAGAAATCAGATTTTAATAGCCTCGGGCAAAGGACCTCGGCTTTTATTCATCCTAAATTGTGATACATTTCAGAAGATAAAATCAGTAAAAGGAGAATATCTACATGTATGTTTAATATAGCTAATTTAATTTGATTGAGCAGATTTTGCTATCTTATTAACAGAACGTAATGACTGAGTCTGTCCAAGATCAGCTTACCTGTAGATCAATGTTGATATTTTTATCTCGATCGTCTGTTACAATACAATAGTATTGGAGATCAACTTGCTGATTGTTTTGCATGATGTTCATAAAATCTTGGACCCCTCCAGCGGTGTTGTAATCATACACTGTGTATTTAACTGAAACAATATTGAAGATGTTTAAACAGTTATCACAATGTTTATAAACATTATATTCATAATTGTATTTTATCGGGATATATTGTGGAGTCTAGCCTTCAAGGTTGTTTTTAAATGTTTGAATCTCCCGCTGGAAGTAGCACGCCAAGAACCAATCAGCTAAGGGCCCGTGCGGATCAGCCAATCAGACAATTTATTGGGCACATTTATGCTCTGAAAAATTCAAAAGATTCTGTTCCACGACCCCTAAGATGCTACTTTCCCCTATTGTTCAGTCACATTATCAGAGGGCTGAAATAGTTTATTCTGTTTTCCTTATATGTGAATGCATTTCCTGACTCAAAGAGACATGTCATGTCTCTTTAGTCAGGAAATGCACTGAAGAGACATGTCATGTCTCTTTAGTCAGGAAATGCATTCACGTATAAGAAAACAGATACAAAATCTTGTAACTTGTATGTAGGAATATTAGAAACAGCAATGAACAGAATTGACTAACAGAGTACTTAATAATGATACACTTACATACATCTTCTCCTGTATTTCCCTTCATTTCGAGGCTAAGGACCCCATCGTTGTTCACTAGACACATGAAGAGGTTGCCATCTGAGATTTGCACATTGCGGCACAGATCAACGTAGCTCACTTTCACATCATTTGAGTTTGACTCCATCGTGATTAGACAGTCTGCGTCTCCTTCAGTTTGTCGCTTTAGGTTACTGTGTTCCTTAACCGCACTGACACTCTTATGCTGCACTTGTATAGTCTTTCTCTGCGTCACTTTTCGGTAAACAACCTGTATCATAAAAAGCCATCTACAGTTGTGTTGCAGTTTAGTGGTGAAAAGTACACTCATATGGAAATGTTGGTATCATTACTTCCGCGTTACTTTAGTAATAGTTAGTAGTTAATAGATAATTGGTATTATTAGCAATTAGCTTACGCTTGAACACAGTAGGTAGGGCGCTACTGATTGCTGCTAAAGCTATGTTCACACCAACGGCGAATGCCACGCTTTAAATCGGCGAGCAAAGTGTCATTTTTGTTCATACCAACGGCGCTTTGATGGCGCTTTAAAGCGGCTTGTAAAGCGGCACCAAAGCGTAATAAAGATTGATTAAAGCGTCGGGGTCATAATAGGTCGTAGAAAAGCTCGGAGTAAAGCGGGATATTCGGCAAGAGCGCCAAAAGAATTTAAAATATTTAAAAATTTTGGGCGCTTTGTTACGAATTGATTGAAGCGCCGAGAGCGTATCAAAGCTTAACAAACCGTAACAAAGCTCAGAAAAGCTTGATCCAAAGCGTAGGAAAGCTTAACATAGCTCTGATAGGTTCCTCACGCTTTGATCCCGCTTTGACCAGGCTTTGTTACGCTTGAAATCATGCTTTGATAAGCTTTGATAAGCATTATTACGCTTTGATGCGATTATGACGCTTTAAATCAGGCTCTGATACGATTGCCAAGCTCTGTTGTGCATTGTTACGCTCTGTTAAGCTCTGTCAAGCATTGGAAAATGTCGAGATCGCCGATTTCATGCCGCTTTTGATCCAATGACTATATAAAGATGCAGTAGACCCATAAAACCATTGCATCTTTGACTCGAGAACACAATGGCAGAACAACAAGATCCAGAAATTCCATATGGACCAGAGCATGACCTATCTGAAGAAGACATGATGTTTGTCACACGGCGTGATATAGCGTGTGGAAACTTGTCAAGCGTAACAAAGCCTAGCAAAGCGTTTCAATCCTTGATTAAAGCGTCTCAATTCGTTGGAAAGCTTGAGAGTCCTTCATGAAAGTGTAACAAAGAGTGTCAGATATTGATGTAAGCGTCTGACCTCGTGTCAGATCTTCATGCCAGATCGTAGCAAATCTTGAGACATCTTAATGAAGCGTGTCAAGTGGTAATAGACCGTGAAGAGACTGGGGCTCCCGCTTTGAATCAAGCTCTGTAAAGCTTTCCTACGCTTTGGGTCAAGCTTTGTTGAGCTTTGTTACGGTTTGTTAAGCTTTGATACGCTCTCGGCGCTTTTGATCAATTCGTAACAGAGCGCCCAAAATTTTTAAACAGTTTAAAATTTTTTGGCGCTCTTGCCGATTATCCCGCTTTACTCCGAGCTTTTCCACGACCTATTACGACTCCGACGCTTTAATCAAGCTTTGTTACGCTTTGGTGCCTGTTTGAAAATTTTGGGCGTTCTGTTACGAATTGATTAAAGCGCCGAGAGCGTATTAAAGCTTAAAAACCGTAACAAAGCTCAGCAAAGCTTGACCCAAAGCGTAGGAAAGCTTAACAGAGCTTGGTTTAAAGCGTGGACCCCAGTCTCTTCACGGTCTGTTACCACTTTACACGCTTCGTTAAGATGTCTCAGGATTTGTTACGATCTGGCATGAAGATCTGACACGAGGTCAGACGCTTTCATCAATATCTGACACTCTTTGTTACGCTTTCATGAAGGACTCTCAAGCTTTCCAACAAATTGAGACGCTTACATCAAGAATTGAAACGCTTTGTTATGCTTTGTTACGCTTGACAAGCTTCCTCATGCTCTCTCACGCTATTTCACGCCGTGCTTCAAACGTCATGTCTTATTCAGATAGGTCATGCTCTGGTCCATCTGGAATTTATGGATCTTGTTGTTCTGCCATCGTGTTCTTGAGTCAAAGATGCAATGGTTTTATGGATCTACTGCATATTTATATAGTCATTGGATCAAAAGCGGCATGAAATCGGCGATCTCGACATTTTCCAATGCGTGACAGAGCTTAACAGAGCGTAACAATGCACTACAGAGCTTGGCAATCGTATCAGAGCCTGATTTAAAGCGTCATAATCGCATCAAAGCGTAATAATGCTTATCAAAGCATGATTTCAAGCGTAACAAAGCCTGGTCAACGCGTGAGGAACCTATCAGAGCCATGTTAAGCTTTCCTACGCTTTGGGCCAAGCTTTTCTGAGCTTTGTTACGGTTTGTTCAGCTTTGATACGCTCTCAGCGCTTTAATTATTTCGTAACAGAGCGTCCAAAATTTTTAAACAGTTTAAACTTTTTTTGGTGCTCTTGCCGAATATCCCGCTTTACTCCGAGCTTTTCTAAGACCTATTACGACCCCGCCGCTTTAATCAAGCTTTGATACACTTTGGTGCCGCTTTACAGGCCGCTTTAAAGCGCCATCAAAGCGCGGTTGGTATGAACAAAAATGACAAAAGTGACGGCGCTTTGCTCACCGATTTAAAGCGTGGCATTCGCCGTTGGTGTGAACATAGCTAAGCTACGTTCACACCAACGGCGAATGCCACGCTTTAAATCGGCGAGCAAAGCGGCACCAAAGCATGGCGCTTTAAAGGGACTTGTAAAGCGGCACCAAAGCGTAACTAAGCTTGATTAAAGCGTCGGGGTCGTAATAGGTCGTAGAAAAGCTCGAAGTAAAGCGGGATGTTCGGCAAGAGCGCCAAAATTTTTTAAACTGTTTAAAAATTTTGGGCGCTCCGTTACGAATTGATTGAAGCGCCGAGAGCGTATCAAAGCTTAACAAACCGTAACAAAGCTCAGCAAAGCTTGACCTAAAGCGTAGTAAAGCTTAACAGAGCTTGGTTCAAAGCGGGGACCCCAGTCTCTTCACGGTCTGTTACCACTTGACACGCTTCGTTTAGATGTCTCAATCTTTGCTACGATCTGGCATGAAGATCTGACACGAGGTCAGACGCTTTCATTAATATATCTGACACTCTTTGTTACGCTTTCATGAAGGTTTTTCACGAATTGAGACGCTTTAATCAAGGATTGAAACGCTTTTTTAAGCTTTGTTACGCTTGACAAGCTTCCTCACGCTTTCTCACGCTCATTCACGCCGTGCGACAAACATCATGTCTTCTTCAGATGGGTCATGATCTGGTCCATCTGGAAATTCTGGATCTTGTTGTTCTGCCATCGTCTTCTCGAGTCACAGATGCAATGGTTTTATGGATCTACTGCATCTTTATACAGCCATTTGATCAAAAAGCGTCATGATAAAGGCGATCTCGAAAATGCACAACAGAGCTTGGCAATCGTATCAGAGCCTGATTAAAGCGTCATAATCGCATCAAAGCGTAATAATGCTTACCAAAGCTTATCAAAGCGTGATTTTAAGCGTAACAAAGCCTGGTCGAAGCGGGATCATAGCGTGAGGAACCGTAACAAGTCGGGAAATCAGAGCGTATCAGAGCTTATCAGAGCGTAACATTACTTAGGAGATCGTGATATTTTTGGAAAAGTAAACATAAATGACAGCGCTTTGCTCGCCGATTTAAAGCGTGGCATTCGCCGTTGGTGTGAAAGTAGCTTTAAAAATGTTTGGCGCTCTTGCCGAATATCCCGTTTTACTCCGAGGTTTTTTAGGACCTATTACGACCCCGACGCTTTAATGAAGCTTTGTTACGCTTTGGTGCCGCTTTACAAGCAACTTTAAAGCGCCATCAAAGCGCCGTTGGTGTGAACGTAGCTTGAGATACATCTGAATCATGATTCTGGCTGTATTTTGTACACGCTTTTTTGACCGCGAGCAAGATTTAAATCCTAAAATTATTATTTTAGGCCAAATTATAAGGAAAATGGGCCTTGAATTTTCAAAATTTTGGTTTAAGGTTCAAGCGCGACTTCAAATATGCCCCCTTGTAGGTTCCTGGATCTGCCCTGAGATGGCACTGAGCATATGCATTGAATGGTGCATGATGGGACCTTCAAAAACTTGGCATCCACATGGCATCGCCTTTTTCCTGCATGGAACTCGTTGGGATTTCTTGGCGACTTTGTACTCATTCATCTTCACACACTCGTTCTTCACTCGTTCAGAAGACCGACGAGTGCCATGTGAACGAAGATGGTACTTATTCGGACTCCACTGGTTGCTTAGTAAAAATGTAGGGAGTTCTAAAAATAACTAGTGTGTATTTTACAAGTATGAATTCCAAATACATGCGATATTGACGTTCAATACGATGGTACTGTAACTAATACTTCAATTCATACAAAATTGAGAGACCAGCAAAATTACTGACATTATTATAGGATATCATGAAAATTGTAATAAGTATAACTGACATCAAGTGTATAATGTAATAGTCATTTCTCTGGTGAATAAATATAGTTAAACTGAAATGGAAATTGGAATCTAGCGTTTTAGAATTACGCTGTTTGTATTTTGAATGCACAATCGAGTAACTAAGTCAAATTAAATGTTTCGCAAGTAAGATAAATTCGTCATATTATCGATATCAAATTTCATTTATATGATCTAATATAAAGATTTTGCATTAATTGGAGTATTTATCCTGGGGAGAATTAAAAGTTCGTGTACTTTGGTGTGACTATATCTTTCCAATGGTCAATGTTGTTTTCCTTATTCTAAGGTTAAAGTTCTCCATAGACCTTCTGGAGAACTAAAAAGTGATATACCTCAAGACTGACTTTAGACGAAAACCCTTTTAATATGACCGTGTACTGACCTTTTCTTTGTTTTTTATTTACCCTCAAATACCCAGCAACTCTTGCCAACTCTTGGAATAAGTTTTTATGTTTTGGTAAAAACTATGTAAGAATAATTTACAAATTTAAAACAGTTTCGGTTTAGGTTGTAGCTTCCTCTACAACAAACACATGATATATATCACCGAGATTGCTGAAATCCTTAGGCATAGCGCCAAAAATTCTATTCTAACAGCTTTATTATAAATATACAGGGTGGGCCAAAATGGAAACGCCACTTAACCTTTTTTTGATCTAAATAATTTGCATGAAATAAACCTTGTGAAATGATAATTAAACTCCTCTTTTAGATCAAATAAGTTGAAAGACCTATTCCATTATTTCATTACTCAGGACCTCTGGCATTATATTGCTACAAAATTTGGTAGGTTGGGAATAAAAAGTTATATAGCGTTTTTTTTAAAGTGGCGTTTTTAGGCACATCCTGTATATTGGAAACCGGAAATAAAAGATGTGACTTTTAACAAACGCTGGATCAGGAAGTAAATAAATGAGAATCAAGTGAAGGATTTAATCACAATTCCATAAATGTGTCGAAAATCTGTTTGTTTGTGTCGTGTTTATCGCTTATGTTTAGAGCTTAGTTGTCCCATGTTGATTGTAATCCACTGATGCTTGCATACATACTGGATTAAATTAAATATAAACATAAACATAATCTCAACATAACAACATAATCTCATCTACTATCGATTAAATACAATATAAGTTGAATACATATTGAAAGCAAATAAGTTTTTGCTATCAAAAAAGTGTTTTGCTGCAAAAATAATTTATGTATATGATTCGCTGGTATACTCCCTGAAAGAATATTACTGTAATTTAGGTAAGAACAGAGTATTTTAAGTAAAAGGAGTTTGCCCTCAAAGTTAATTCTTCATCTATATTTCATTGGCAAGTTTGGCAAAATAAATTCCACTGAAAATTTATTTTTCGGCAAAAGTCATCTCGTTGTTGGTCTTTGGAATTTCGAAACGGCAAAGGTGACCTTCAACTTCACCATCCCTTTATTTCAGCACATATATCAAACATCCTGTATATAAAGAATCTTATCATGTAATTAAAAAGGAAACAAAATAAAAATGTCACGTTAAATCAAAAAAAGAATACCTCGTGTGTATAAACGGAGAGCTACAACAAGTCAACAAGGTCTCTGTGAAAATAAAAATACTTTGCCAAACGTGTATGACACAATATAAGACCAATCATTATACATTTCTGGTTTATAACCATTAAAATTGTGTTAAATAATGACACTTAAGATGTCTTGTTGTTTTGATTTATTCATCTGAGCCAACCATAGACGATTAGAGAGAAGTTTATAAAATCTAGCTGGTTGCGATATCCGGTGTCCGTGTTTATTGATATAAATGAGTCATATCTGTGTGGCAGATTCAGAGAATAGATAATCGTCATCATATGAGTATAACGAACCTTTGTAATAACTTACTGTAAATTTTGAACGAACATTTTACATTATTTACAACAATAATTAGTTTATCAAAGGAATATTATAAGATCTTAATATATGTGTTGACAACGTTCAAATAGACTAGCCGGGCTTACATGTATCTTGTGATGCCGCGCCGTCAGTTGTCACTGTTCATGTTATTAAAGATGTTACGTCTAACTTCGATGTTGATTGGCGTGAAGATGTCCCAAGTCGGATTTGTTCTTCTCCTCGCAGAAATAACGAGCGCCCAACTTCAATTCTGTCGTGACCAAGTGAAGACCGGTGAGTAACTGATAACTACATTTGTGAGATGTAACACGAAACATTTAAACGTTTGTAGTGTGTGTTGTACACACTTCACTGAGCAAAGTTCAGTAGTTAAAGGACCCGTGTATAATTTAGACCATCTTAGCTTATATTGAAGTCTTAAACAATGGAATTTGGATATGTAAAACATTTTTTTCACTTCTAAAGTTAAGAGGTCATTTGGTCGAAAATTGTGAAAGTTCATATTAAAAAAAATATTAGTAATCATTCGTATCTTCGCAAAAGTAATACTTTAACCCATGCATAGCGTACATACCGATATATCTCATGGTGCAAAAATTGAAAAAATGTACAGATTCAGTACAGATTCATGAGCGATTGTTGATTCAGAGATGAAACCTCGCTCTTGTTAAATAAAATTTTAATTCTTATCTTTATACGTTTTTATTTTCTTTAAGGTTCGCATCTATCCAATTAGAAAATACACATAATCTTTTAAGTAAATGATGGATAGTTGAAAAAATGACGCATAAAGACTCTATGCAGAGTTTGAAAATAATGTTTTTGATGATTTAGATAATTGTATGTATTTCGAAAAAGTTGAATCTTAGAAAAATAGTTAATTGTTTTTTTCTAGTTTTCAAATATTTGAATATTGCGCTATTTTACCCTACTATCACACCAAACTAGTTCTCACTACGTCTCGAAAACGGGCTTAAACTGTGCACGAACGGATTTGACGTACTAAGAACCCACTAAAAACCGTTTGGGATCTGTATACAAACTTCATATAACTACTAGAACGAGTAGGTCCTCCAGCACTTAGGGAATGCTAAAAAAAATTCTGGTGATCGTCCAAACGTTGCCGAACCGGTTTCAAACTGTGTGCGAACTGAATGAACGTAGCTACAACGTTCTCCGGTCTGTTTACGAACTTCATGGACTTTCCCGGACGGGGTATGTGATTTAGAATTTTGAATCGATTTAAAATTCGATGGCGACCATACCGTTCTGTAATCAGGTCATGATGACCTTCTAGACTAAGGGACGGTTTATACTACGTTGCACACCGACGTGGTGCGACCTGAACGAACTGCGAATGAGATGGACGTATTGAGGACTGTTTATGAACGAAGTAGCTAATTATTTTAGACATATATCCCGACCGCAGCCAGACTGAGCCCGTTGTACGACATTTTCGTAGGACTGGCAAGAACGGGTAAGAACTAGTTTGGTGTGATAGGGGGGTTAGTTACACAACTCTCTACAGGCCTTGTTGCCACTTTAACCAATCTTACTAAAGAAAAAATGTTAAATTTGATTTTTGATAGCCGAACTCGGATTCACTAGACCCGTTGAGGAGAGAAATCTCATTGACTTTGCCGTCCACGCCAAATACAAAGATCTCCATTGTTGTGCGGAAGGATACGCTACCTTACAGTGGCACTTCAATGGTGAACCATTTCCCTGGGAGAGACAAGGACGAATAAAGCTGGAGAATAACAACCAGACATTAGTCATTAAGGATACATATTTAGAAGACGCTGGGCTGTATACGTGTAGGGGCGTAGCTTCTAGGGACGTGGCCTCTGGAGCCGACGTTATATCGCATGCAGTCAACCTCACTGTCTTAGGTAACACTAATAATACATCTAAACTCAGTCTTGGATTAATTTGAATATATGGTCTAAGGCCATGTAAAGGGAAACTCTTCCGTCCTTTATTTCTCATGTTTCAAGTTTTAGAACAATAGTGGGCTTATCTGTAGTTGCCAGCTACATTGGTCAGAACCTGTAAGTGTCGACTTAAGTGATTCTTTAGTGATCATAGAATTAAACAACTTTACTGGGGCATCCGGCTTTAAAATTTCGACCTTTTTTGCGAGGTCGCCACGATTCAAAAGTATTCTACGGGGCTTGGTACGGTAGTGTGAATGACATGATACGAAAAATGCACTCGCGACAAAATGTCAGTAAGAGATTAAATATGCCGTCAGTGGAATGAGACTGGGTCTCTTGAGTTGACTGATGACTCACCATTTCGTTGAAGTCACAGGGTGTGTTGATTTAATTTAAACATCCTTTCCATTTCGAACTTAGACAGCCCGCTTTCGTGGGAATAAGGCCTGATACTTATAAGTAATAAATATAACAGGATGTTAAAATCAAATAACTTGAATTAATCCATGAATCGGTCCTAAATCAAAAAAAGTTGAATCAAAAGGAAGTATTGTTCTTGAACCAAGATACGACGACTCTACGACTTGCAAAGATGATAATAGAGATATTTCGCAACTCACTTATAGCATGATTATTCCTGTATAACATTACTTCTGAAACGTTTGATTACGTTATCATTTAATGCGCAGCTCTATACGGGGGCATTGCAGGGGCGGATCTGGGAACCAATAGGGGGGGGGGGGGGGGGGGGGGGGCTAAATTTCAGGTCAGAGAAAAAAACGTTGAAATTTTTTAGCCCATTTTCTTTTCAAACTTCAAAGTCGCATTTAACTCTAGAGCTTTCAATTCTAGGGAAGCGGGGGACGGTCACCCCCAACGCTTTCCCTTCCGACGCCACAAAAACATGTTATAAGTGAGTTGCGAAATCTCTCTAATGACAATAAATCCGATTCTTGAATACACCTACTACATGTAAAGTGTCTTTGAGTTCAATGAATACTAAGTTCTTTACTTTTTCAGAATTCGTTGACTACACTGGACCACCCCTCGTGTCAGAGGAACCACGTGACGTAGTAGCCCTCCCCGGGGCGAACGTCACGTTTTATTGCGAGGCATACTTTGGATCTATTAGGAGAAAAAGTGTTTACTGGTTGAAATATTACAACGGTAGTATTCAATTTGCGGGAAATTTGCCAAGACATAGAGAAGTGTCCGTAAAAAAGTAAGTTCCCCGACTACGCCGACCGCCGAACAACAACTGCCGAACACTAACATCGATAAGATTGGTTGAGAAAATTCGGGTAGACACAGGCAACTTTTATGTCCGAGATAAAACTCCCGGCGCCCTTGCGACGTTCTTTATTAATGATTATTATATACCTCAAATGTATTCTAGATGCTCATTGGCTTATTCATGGTCACATGACATGGAATAGATGAACTAATTCCCTGGAAAGTCCTAAATCCCTGCTTTCAGGGAAGATGAATTGTACTAATCACCAGTTAGGTCATGTGACCAGTCAATAGTACATTTTATCTTCCCCCAAATCTGAGATTATAGGAGTTGAAAGGTAAAATGCCTTTAAATGCCAATAAGAACCTGTGAACATTTGATATTGAAATGAAAAGACTTCTCATTTTGTTTTTGTTTACAGAGTACTTATCAGGTATATAATAAAACAAATAGTGACTGCCACATTTTCGGGAAATAGTGTAAAAAAATTCCTCTCGGGAATATCCTGTCCACTGACTTGTTCCCTCGGCCTGCAGCCTCGGGAACATGTCAGTGGACAGGATATTCCCTTGAGGAAAATATTTTGCACTATTTCCCTCAATGGCAGTCACTATTTGTACACTATCCCACAGTGTTCTTGTTTGTATAGTCTTTACTTTTGTACGATGCTAATAGTGTAAATTGCTTTTTCATCTGCACTCTGATTGTTTCAGATATGACTCTTTAATAGTTGGAGCATATTTACATGTTGATGATGTCAACTTAGACGACTACAACGCCACCTATGAGTGCCGAATGACAAGGGGGAGACGGAGAGATAAAGTTTATTTTAATGCATCAATTATCTATGGAGGTACTAACAAGTAATACAGAAATATGGCTACACGTTCTGTTTTACGGTAGTGTACAAAATACATGACAGGTGTTCACTTAGACAGGTTTTACTGTAGATTACAAGTAGACGTAAACCCCGAAAATAAAAATAACCCATGATTCAATTAATCACAAATAGTGTCGGAAATTGCCAATAACCCTTATCTGGAGGTAAGAGTAGATTGTATGTGGTCTTTCAGTTTTGTCAATAATACTGGTGTCAAAATGGTCAACAGAAACAATAGGCTCGACATCATCCAAGGTCTGTTTCTGATCAACATCTTTTACATATTGTCCATGGGAACCCAATCTTGCATTTTCTGTCATATATTTTCTAAACTACCTCCTTTCCCATTTCCCACTGGCTAAACAAGTGATCATTAAATGACTGGTTTGTTCTTCCATTACCAAATCCAATCAAACCATATTAAACGTGTCCATGTTCTCTTTCAGACCCTGATGCCACGGAAATCATTCGCTCTGTAATATCGGATCCTGGTGGTTTCAAACCAGCTGTGATCACGGTGGCTTGTCTTTTCGCTGTAGTGGCCTTTGTCTGCCTTCTAGGATTCAACTACAGGTTGGAAATACAACTCATCGTTAAGAGCCAATTGCAAACTGGAGAACCTCTAGGTAACAATAATATAAAAGTTCTCACACGTGACATTATCACACATGTGACATCACATTAAAAGATCAATTCTCTGAAAATGTCGATGATACATAAATTGCATAACTTAGGATAATTATTTTGTCATCAGAAAGTTTTTCTCAGAATTTAAAATATATATTTTCTCACTGAAAGCATATATAAACGAATAGATTAAGGTATGACACGTCCTTATATACTCTGAACTATTAATCTCCTCAAATTCTCATTTCCACTCCTCGTCTAAATTCTGAGAAAAACTTTCTGGATTTAATTTATTTCATCTAATTCGATTATTACATATGGTGTACAGGCCTGCTCTTATCTATCTGCCGCCCCGGGTCTGCCGCTTGCGTGAGTCACTTTGGAAAGTCCAAGATAACGAGGGTGCGGGTATCGTGATGGGTTATTAGGTTACCATGACTCTTTGAAGCTATGATTTTGTTGAAAAATTCTGTGTTTCGGGAATCATCGGGGAATTTTTCATTCACCTTTTCATGCCATTTTGATAACTGGAAAGCTCTAGAGGGGTCGATGCAGTCGAGGGTGGAGATTTGTTTTCAATAATCTAGGCGATGTGCAGTTAATTAAATGAAACCAGGCTAACGACAAGCGAGTATTGCTGCAGTAAAATCATACATTGGTAACATTCAAAGTTATTTAACAGCTATTTAACACAACTATAGCCTAGGATCACGTTGATATTACTAATAAGACAAGGCACCAACATGCAACATGTCACCACCTGCCATTTGATACAGACACCGACCACCGAACACCATCCACAAATAAGATGGAGACTAACAATATGTCACCACGTCTGGTGGAGACATAAGTCAGCAACATGCAAAATGTCACCACCTTCCATTTGTTACAGACGTCGACCGCCACTTACCGCCCACAAAAAATGTTGAATATAACAATGTCATCACGTCTGGTGGTGACATAAAAGTCCTCAACATGCAAAATGTCACCACCTTCCATTTGTTACACACCTCGACCGCCACACACAACCCACAAAAAATGTTGAATATAACCACCACTTCTGGTGATGACGACATAAAAAACAATCACATCTATCTTTTTTCAGAGGACATGTGCTACCACATGTTTGTGGCTTACGACCACAAATCTGATGATGACCAAGAGTTTGTGGTAACTGCCATGTTGACTGAACTAGAAGAGAAATGTAATTATAAGATGTGTATAATTGACAGGGATTTTGGAGCGGGAGAAAGTAAGTAAACATTTTACAACATATAATTCATTTCTGCTAGTTACAAACAGGTATTCAACATGTGTTTCACTGTACTCTTCACTGCGTTCGACCGACAGGAGCCGAGTGAACGAAGATGGCTGCATATGCGTAAATATTTTCGTGCGTTTTATAAAAGCGAAACCTTGTCTTCTAGAATAATTCACCAATGACGACAGTAAATTGGATATACTGCTTTTTGAAAACAAACAAAATGACTACTGATACCCTCTGCTTATCGTTCACATAGGCTCAGAAGGTCAAATTCATTTTGCCGATCATCATTTGACCTTGACCTTTATATTCTTCTGCTCATTTCCAGCTCTTGCTGATGAATATTTACGATGTATCCAAGCGAGTCAGCACTTCATAGCTCTGATTACACCGAGTTTCCTCAAAAGCGGTTGGTGCGACTTTGCGCTTAAAGTAGCACTAGAACATCATAGACAATGTACATTCCTTGTGTATAAACCTATCGAGAACTGGAACGATTACTTGGAGAGGGCAAGTACTAAATCTGCCATGAAAGTCATTAAAACTATAAAATGGCCTCAGGATGAACAACGAAGGAAGGTGGAAATGTTTTGGAAGAGACTTAGGCTACAGCTACCTGCCTTAGCTAAGGACACACGGGTGGAACCCGATGTAATACTAAATGCAGTTAAACGAAGAGATGCCAAATGCTGATGAGGGATTCGACAAATACTGACTTGATACAGTACTGCAGACTATTGCAATGGGGTATGGGGGTATCAGAAAACAATATGATGTCTCAGAATATGCATAGTCTTGGGACACAACAAACTGAGTGGTATATCCTATAATGCAAAACAACTTCACTTCACACAACTATATATCTAAGTGAATGGGGGATGATATCATATCTCAACATTTTAGAAGCCTTCAACCTTCCACTAAAAACATTTTATAAATGTTTGTTATTGTTTCAGCTTCCCACCTTTAAAGCTGTGTTCTTCGGTACATGTCAAAATATTAATATTACTTCAAATTACTGTATTACTACAGGATATCCTACAGGGCAGCGGTAACTCCATGTGAGGAATTCATTATTTTAATTTCAGGAATAAAATTAATAAAGGTTTTTACAATGAAAGAAAACAAAAACATGATTTATAATTGTACTTTGAAACAACATTTTCTATTTTCTAAATAGTTATTTTAGTACACATCCATGGTTTATGTCATCTTTATCAATACTGCAAAAAATATGTTTCATTTTTCATAAAATATAATCTGAACATTCCAATACAAAAAGCTTGCATTTGATGTTTAGAAGCCTCGTTCAGTCCACTGTCCAGCTTCAAGTAAATAAAAAACCATTTAGCTCAATCGTGCAACAATTCTTTGTATTCTGCACAAAACTGTATATAGAATGATCAGAAAAATTGATATATTACATTTTAGTAGGTCAAGGAAGGAAGAGTGGGGATAAGCTGTGGAATAAGGATACAATTCTGTTTCTGCAGTTTTTGTTTTGAAGAACAAGGGCTTGAGATTTCCCATAAATGATGACCTTATTTCTTATTTTAGAAGATGTGCTAAATATTTTATTTATTAACTCCTAGCATATCTTAGAAATGTTAGAATTATCTTACATCGATATTCACATCTGCTCAATACAAAGTAATGTGGATTGAAACAAATATCAAATAATATAAATTCATTAAGCTGGTCCCAAAAGTGTTATTTTTAACAATTTGAAAATCTAACAATTTTTGGACTTCCAAAACTTTTTATAATATTTTGTGGCAAAATAAAATGAATTATGTATATACAAATGTAGTTGATGTTTGCAAAGAAGCTCAAAGTGCCCTATCATTTTAGATCATTGGTATGATTATTGACTTCATTTTTATTAAGTTATACAGTGCTTCCAACTGTTACATGCAATTCGCAAACGTCTGGCAAATATACATGCAACTTGCACTCTGAAATAGAGCCTTCAGAAAGCTACTTAGCAATAGTTATTACATATCTAGCATACCCTCTCTGGCGGATCTGGGGGGAGCTGAAAATTTGCCACCCCTCCCTTGTTAATTTCTGGATCCACCACTGATACACATTTATGAGATTAAACAAAATAAATAATGCTTGCTTATGCCTTGGTCACATTTGCTCTGATTTCTCTACGGTGCCCGGCTGATTAAGTATTTTGTTCAAAATTGAATACAATATTGAACAAAACACTCAATCAGCCGGGCGCCGCCGATTGATCTGAGCATATGTGACCCAGGCATTTAGAGGGCATGGCAAGGAAAGATGCACAGATGGTTCAAATAGTCCATGCTTCAATATGCAACCCTCTCAGTCCTTCAAATTTAAGGGGCCTGTCCTTCAGGCAAAGTCTCCTGTTTTACACTTAGTCCAACTCATGATTGGTCGTGTTAAGTGGATGGATGGATGATAAACAGCCATTTTGTTAAATAAAGACTGAAATCATTTATAAAGTCTGAAGTCATTTTCTAAGACTTTTTATCACCAAAAGTGCTTAACAACATGATTTTGTGTAGAGTTTAGTGCAAATTCTTTGAGTCGACCCCTAATGTTCACCACACATACACATATTTTACTTTTAAAAGGGCAAGGAGAAATAATCCGAAACTGTGGATTCATTTTGCATTCACATTTTACATTTCTGACTGGACCATACCCTTCTTTGCCCCGACAAGTTAGTTCTTGCATTGTCATCATAATTTAGTCATTAAGTACCAAATTGGCAATATTTTCAATCTAGTTGCTGTACTTGAACCAAGTGCTCAGCATCATTTTCATACCATTAAGTACATACTGGTGTACGAGTAAACGTTGTGGGACACTCTAAGGATTAACTCCATCAAATATGCGCAAAACCTCTAATGTTCAACAATTCCTCTCGTACATTGCAGCTGACATCATAACATCTCTTGCCAACAGAATGTGTGATAGAAATCTTCATACTGAAGAGAAAATGTGTTATTATTTCAAGGTTCACAATGATGTAGAACTTGATTCGTGAGTTTTAAATATAACAACTTCCTTAAAATCAAAAATCACCGGAGCATAATCGTAACGAAATAGTCATTTAAGCCCCAGTGGATCTCAATCCACTCCTTAGATAATGTACGGCTCTGGAGTTGGTAGGTACACAGTAGAGACATCTATGATTGGGTACACCTGGGGGTAGGGACTTCGAGCTCAGGTTCGCTGGCTGGGGGAGAATCATCGTCACTGTCGTGGTCACTTGATGATGAGATTTCCTCCCCTTCCTCACGTGCCTGAAAGTTAAAATGTTGTTCAGCTACTAAAGGAGTAACGAAGACTTGTCTAAAGTTTATATGTTTTGCTCACAACATTCTTTGTCATACCCTTTTTCTGAGAGCAGAGAGTACCCTCTTTTATTCTTAATTTTAATGAATTTGGACATTTCTCCATCCTTTGTGAAAGGTGATGTATTCCACACTTAACCTCGATTGTGAACTACGTCTAAAGTGATGTATTCTACACTTACTCTCCTTCGCGCACTTTGTCTAAGATGATATATTGTACACTTACCTTCCTATGTGCACTTTGTCTAAAAAGATGTATTGTACACTTACTTTCCTCTGAGCACTTTTTATGAAATTATTAATTGTACACTTACCTTCCTCTGTGCACTATGTCTAAAGTGATGTATTGTACACTTACCCTCCTTTGTGCACTATGTCTATAGTGATGTTTTGTACACTTACTCTCATTCATGCACATTATTTTAAGTGATTTATTGTACATTACCTTCCTCTGTGCACTATACTTAAAGTGATGAGTTCTACACTTACCCTTCTTCGTGCACTACGTCTAAGATGATGCATCAGGAACCACAACATCTGACCATCGATCATTTCAGGGTCATTGCTCATATCAAGCTTCCTATCTCTTCTGTTCTTCTTTACAATCTATATAGAATGATTAATTATTTAGTATAGCATAGTATAGAGTGTATCCAGTTTGTTTGCGCCACCCTGTATATATGACCTTATTGGGTAGAGCCCACTTAAATAATAGACACCCTTTACAGTAGATATAATTATCTTAAAACAAAATTCAGTGTTTTTTGTTGGAGATCTAATTCAATAAACATGCCAGTTAGGTTAAACCATTAAGAGGACTTAAAAATCTGATGAAAAAGTCCAGCCAGTGTAAATGGGGCTTAACAAGACAATAAGATAAACACAGCATTTTAATGTACAATGTACATTTCAAGCACACAATGCTCTTAAAATGATATTCTTTTGTAATTATTTTCAAGTAATTCACAACTATATTTAAATATTTTTTCATCTTCACATCATTTGGGCCTGTATATTTACAACTAAGATTAATATCAGAGAAATACCTCTTGAATGCCTTTTAGCTTTGTGGGTTCATGTTCTGTGGGGGCCCATATCTTAACATCATTGTCTAAACCACTAGTTGCGATCACCGGAAAACTGGGATGAGGCTCTAAGACATTAATCTGGAAACAGGCAGAAGATTTTAGCTCTGAAAATTCCTAAATACTTGACATGATGATGACATTTAAGAATAAGAATGAGAATAAACTTGTCAGGTTATGCATCCCAGGTCATGAATTTCCAAAATTAAAAATGGAACTTGCTTCCAAATTTTTTATTCATAGTAATTTCTGTAGTTCAGGAAAATATGTAGGTTATACATAGAGGTCAGGTAAAAATTATGGGACTTACCACACCTCCCCTATCTGCTTCCACATACTGCACTATTTTTTCTGACTGTTTCTCCCAGAAGAAAACGTGTCCACAGTCACTTCCACTGACAATGAATTCACTCCTGGCACCATAAAAGTTAACACCTTTCACTGAAACATGAAACAATACAGTTTAAAGTGAGTCATGGTTTTTAAGAAAGTCAATGAAGGGGGGGGGGGGGGGGGGGGGGGTGAAGAAACTGATTGCCAACTACCACAAAACATGTACACTGTATTATGGATTTTAGTGTTTGCATTCTCAGTAGTGGTACAACTCAAATGTAAAATGCCACTCGGGTGAAAGTGTTAAGATGCAACTGAGATCAAGTGGCAATTCACAAAAAAGGATGAAAAATTGTAAAAATTAAAAACAAGCCCAGAAAATTGTTTCATTCCATTATTGTATTTCTTTGTTTGACATTTTCGATTCTGGTTCAATATTCTATTTTTCAGAGCAAACATTGAAAAAAGTATCATTCATGGGTTATCAGATAGCCAACTCCAGTTTAAAAAAACATACCCAAGCATCTTTCTGGGACTAATCCAACAAATAAGTGACAAGTATTGGCATTCATTTGCCCCACTAGTCCTCAAACTCCTGAAATTGTGTTAATTATGTCAAGAAGTCTCATAACTAGAAGACGAAGAGTTAATTAGTCTATACGCCCTAACCTGTAGCATTATTCCTGTGGCCACAGTATCTGTGAATGGGCTCTGCACCATCTGAGTGTGAATTGTTAAATAGGTAGATGTCATCATCATTATACGTGCCCAATACCTCAGAACCATTGTAGTTGTATACTGCACATGTAACATTTGGCTTGTTGTCTTTGTCAATCTAGAACGGAAGAAAAGAGATGGAGTACAGCATACCATCAAAATTATTTGTTCAGAATATTTAAGTATGAAATGGTAGAATTTTTACAGTGCACCTATACTTACCATATGTTGAGGGCAAAACTTCTTGACTATGCCCGAATCATCATCACTGATCTTTCTCTTGTCATATATCCTCATGAAGTGATCTCTGCCCCCAAGCAGGAACTCATTAGAGTTTGTTGGGTTAGAGTGAATGGAGTACAGAGCCACCTTTTGTTCATTTTCTTTAACGGTTACTAGCCTATAAGAGAAAGGGCCTTAAATGGCAAGTTATGCTTCTACCCATACATGTTTCTCTTAATATTCCTCTGTTTAGATATAATCTTTGAGTCCCAGTGGGGACTGAAAATTAAAATCAGCCGGTAACAAAATTTACTCAGTTCCCATATAAATAAAATTCTATGCCGTATAAGTATGGTTCTAACAAGCCCTATGTCTTATCCTCATTCCTGATTGTAAAAGTAGGACTCATTGGGTCATCTCTTATTACTTACTTGGTAGGCTTCTCCTCCCTAATGTCCACCTCAATCACTGTGCCATCTTCTCCACATGAAAGGAAACAGTGGCCAGAATCAAACTGCATCGCCAGCTACAACATACAATATGGGAACATCTCAAATGTGAACACCATTTTAGTTTCATTTTTAGTTTTCTATCGATCCTAATAATTTTCCATGTTCAAAGAATCCATTCATTCACTATCACTATCAGAAATTTTATGATACATGCGTTTAATATTTAAGCTAGCTCCTCTGTCATTTCATTGTTATAATGATAACATAAGACAAAGATCTAACCTCTCCAAAATGGGATGATGTACATTTTTCACATGCATTATCATAGTAGAATATGGAAGCTTTTGAATAATTTATCAATGTGCAAAATGTACATGTAAAATCATCAACATGAAAAATGTGATTTGAATAATATAAATAGAGGACTTACCTTATGAGCTGCCCCCTTGTGTTGGCCAACCTTCCTGGTTCCCTTACACACTCCAGTGGCTGATAGCTCACCAAGTCTCACCTGTCCATCTCTAGCACATGAAGCAACGATACAATCATTACTGTGTGGCACAAATTTGCACTGAAACATAAGATATTTTAAACGGTAAAACAGGGTTGTGTGTGAACTTGCATCCTCTGATCACAGGGCTTCAAAATCCGGAACATATTCTTTCTTTTTACCCCCTGCAATAGGCAATTACCATTTCCCCGATTAAGAACTCGCAATCTGATTGGCTGTCGCAACACTGCGACAGAAATCATGTCTAAGTCATTGCGCATAATTAGATCATGTGATTCAGTTAAATAGGGCGCGTCCAAATTGGTTATAGCAGGGGGAAGAAGGAGGTACGGATTCTGGACACTTGCTTAGGAAGATGGTGAACATGTTGCTCATGTAAATATCATCAATGTTGTAATCTCGGCAGTATAGAATAACCAGACTAGTATTTTATTTGGAATTCCATTCAAAAAGCCGAAACGAAGACACATTTGGACAGACAATGGACATGTGTCCATCCCATTGACTGCTGTGTAATTTTAGAGTTTGTTGTTGAACATTTTTATATATGAGCAAGCCGTACCCCCAGCATTCACCAAAAACAGATTTTACTCTACACATTCTTGGTGAAATGAGAAGAAATGAAGTTCTATTGTAAAGAGTATCATGAATAATATTATGAATTATATTGATGGTCTACCTGAAACACATTGCTCCTATGGCCACTATCATACACAATGGAAGGAGTGTTCTTACACCAGTCCCATAGAACAATCTTCAAATCATCAGAACCACTTGCCAAGAGGTTACCTATGAAGTTACAAATTTGATCATTTTACAGGTGAAACCATTATGGAGTTTACAGGAAATTACATCTAAAGCTTGCATGTTCTTATTAATATACCATTCAAATTATAGCATTACAGATACTCATAAATTACCATGAATATGTGTATGTTACCAAAACATTTTTTCAATGTTACCATAGAAACTACTACATTACAACAGGTGCTTGTTCTATACTACTATATTACCATAATAATACATTAACTACTTATTCGTTACATTTCATTCATTTTCCATTTTGGTAATTTTTAACAAAAACAGTGCCAAAATTGCCTCAAATTATTTTTATTATTTCAAAGATGGCTTTCCTTTGAGCCAAAACAGAAATACTTAGATCTTTTGGGCACTGGTGTGTTGAAGTGATCTGTTAAATACTGACCTGCCCTATTAAAATGAAGAGCATTGACACATCCCTCATGTTTTTCCATCTTATACTGTAGCTTTAGCCGCTGAACCAAATCAACGCTTCCCATGGCTGACTGACCATACCTACAACATAAAGGGTTGTCTCATAAACATAACCACTAGAGAAAGAGACCTAGAACTATGGCAGTATAGGGGTTACATCAGCCCGAAACCACTATATGCTACATACTATTTGTACATAATTTTATCTGGTTGGTTTTACTAAAATTGTTGTATGGGGAATTTTGCTGTTTATATGTTAAAATAATCATAACATTTTGAAACACTCTATAATATAATAAAATCTTAATTTCCTTAAGGCCTACCTCTTGTAGACATTCTTATTTAAGTGGGACGGCCCATATTCCCTGTAGTAGAGTTGTCTCATGACTTGCCATGAATCAACAGGTGGTTTGGTGTCTATAACTATTTCTTCCTCCTCACTGGAAGCCCTGTTTGCCTCGATATCATCAACATTGTCATCGTCTTCATCAACATCAGCTTCATCAGCTGCAGCACTTTCACCATCAGTTGTGTTTCTCTCTTGCTCTTCTTCATGGTTAATGACATCATCTTCACTTTCTGATTCTGACTCGGTTTCTGGATGTGGACGTCTTCTGAAATATCTCTTCTGTTTACGAACACATTTTTCCTTTCGTGACTTAGTATCTTCACTAACAGAGAGCATGTCGTGTGAGGCAGTCGCCTCATCATCTGAGTCTATATCTATAGATAAATTGTCATTAGTAGAGCCTGAATCAGAAATAGCCACATCATTTTCCGGTTTCTTTTTAGCCGATTCAGCAGTTATTTTGTCTGAGTGCGATTGTCTTTCATTACTCACTTGATCTTTGTCTAGATCTATGGCATTATTAGTCTCATTACTCGGTTTGAGATCGTTCAATGAGCTATTGCTAGAGTCATTATTGGGGGCTTCACAGTTATTAGGAATCTCTTTAGCAGGGGACTTGTCCATATCAATTCCACTGTCATTTTTACTTACATTACATGCACCAACTGTAAGAGAGATTGAATTGTCAAGACTTTTTTCATCTGCAGTGTAGGAATCTGTGGTAGACATATCAACTGATGCATCACTAGCCTTAGTAACATCAAGACATATGGCTTCATCCGGTTTCACTTCACATGGCTCACAGTGGTTATGATCATTGGCATCTTTGCTGATATGACTCTGTGGCATGTCTTGATCATTTGATTCAATGGGTTCTGTCTTTATGACATCATCAGGACAATGATTGTTTGCAATTACATTGTTTTCCTCTTCCATGTTGACATCAGACTTTTCAGCCATTGTTGTAACTATGGAGATGCACTCTGAGGTATTCAAATTCACTTCCTAAAGCAGTGATTGGTTGAAACACTGAAACAAACATATAAATGAATCGAATGATATTGGTTAAATGATATGGATGGTTGCACATGTCCATATTTCTCAGTTATTTGTCAAGATGTATTATATTAGTTTTCAAAGTTCCTGTATCCTATAGGCTGAACTGCTTATAAAGGAGGACATTTCTTTGGATTGCATGCAATATTTTGTTGTCTAAGAGGTTTTACTCTAAAGTCGCGGCAAGAATACACAATCCACATATTTATGGAATTTCCAATATTCAGTCCTGCTGGTTGAAATGAGATGAAACAACAAGAACAATTATACTATGAAACTAGTCTTACACTATCAGGGTTTAAACTACACAAAAGAAATCTGAGACAAGTAGAATGGAATAAATATTATTATTATATCACTGTCATATTCCTCACTCTCTTATTGGTCCATGTCCTACACGTGACTAAAAAATAACTAGCGATATTCAACGGAGGTCACGTGACTTCCGGTGAATATCAAATGATATTCAACGGTCATGAATGGACATTTAAAAAACATTCCCAACCTTGTTACCCACATGGCCAATACTATGAGTATGAACACAATGGTTCCATTTTCATTGACCCATTGCAATGTTACAATTAATCATAATGTTAACATGAAACCTTAAATTAAAATACTTCAATTTGGGAGTTGATATTTATTGACTATACAATTTGGTAGTTGATATTTATTGTATTTATTGTTATATTGTAGAAGAAATATAAATGTATTTCAATGTTAAAATATGACTTATTTAATTATAGAAGATGTTATGACAGTGATATAATAAAACAAATATTTAATTCTATTTTCGGTGAATACATTGACACTTTCACAAGATGATATTCCACTAGCCCTTCGGGCTTCGTGGAATATCACTTGTGAAAGATGCACAGGTATTCACCGAAAATAGAATTAAATATTTGTATAATATCAAACACAGATACGTGGTGAGTTATGCACAAGGAACACCTGACAGGAATATAAAATTCAGAGAGAAAATTTTACATTCAACAGTTGTTTTTGAAGGTTACTACCCATATCAATGGGCCGATCCAGGAACCAACAAGGAAGGGGCATATTTGAAGTCTTAAACACCAATCGCCAAACACAATCCACAAAAAAGACTGTAACAATGAATATGTCACCACTTGTGGTGGTTACATAATAATAGTACTATGGAGTTAAATTTCATAAACAGGAAGTCAAATGTGTCGATAGAGCACCTAAAATAACTGAAGTCATCAGATACACTGTATCATACAGTAAGTGGTATAGTCATAATTATGTCCTTGTTCAAGACACACGTTGTCTTGAGAATATCAGGATAATCTAAAGTAAATAAAGTAGTAACAGAACTTAAAGAATTGCCTACCTGTCCGAAGTAAATACTAACTAATAAGGGAAAGAGGCGACTTGCCTTTTAGTAGACGATATAGGTTCAAACCTAAACCGAACCTAAAAGTGAATCCCATAAATTGACAGTTATCTAAATGAACCTAAAAACACTTAGATATATGTGGAATATACCTAAAGTAAACCTAAAAATCTTAAATATATCTAGAGCTACCTAAAGTGAACCTAAAAAGCTTATTCAAATGATTTAAAAAGGATGTAATGATGGAAACTGAGACAGGAAAGGTCAAGATTTATGACAACATATCCCCTGGTTGGTTTACCTGTTAAGTAGAAAGAAATTCCACAAGAAATTAAAATGGTGGCTTTAGCGGATAGGAACGAATCGTCCGAAGATTTTCGAATGATGCCAATAAAGCTTCCTGGTGTCTGCATTTCTCACTTCAAATTTAAATCGCAAGTTTTGTTCTTTTTTCTGACAAAATAATTCAGAGGTGATCAACATACTAAATGGCTTTAACTAGTGGCCATTTATAAAGCATTAGTCAAATCTTTCGAATGCTGATTGTGAACTCATAGCAAGGTAAATATCAGACGATAATGGTGCTAGCTTTATTGACATCATTTGAAAATCTCTGCATGATACGTTTTTTTCCGTAAAAACAGCCATTTTAGTTTATTTCACCCCAGCCTATAAAAAGAAGTTTTGATCCACACTGAGGCACCTAAGTCTTCCATAATTTCACTAAAAAATAGGACCCACGGTCCTGTGCTCACACAGTTTGTAACCTTCAGAGGAATGTATATCCTGACTTTCAAACAAAAATATTGATTTGGATTTGTAGCCTCGAACTTTGAGAAACTTAGACAGCACAGTTGTGTGACCTAGTTGTGATGACCTTTGACCTTGAAAATTTTACTTATTTAGAGGTCAGTAAGGGCTTTTGTGATTAAGCTGACCAAAATTTACATCCAAAAATCAATTTGAAAAATCAACCTTTTTGACCTTTCAAAGGTCACTGAAGGTCAAGTAAAGGTCAAATCCTAAAACTAATGTCAGATTTGAATTCCTGGTAACTTGTAGATGATTTTCAAAAAAGAATTTAGTCAAATTGAAGCAAGTTGAAAAATAACTTATTTTTTTGAGTTTTTTTACGTCATATATCTCAAAAAGGGTAAAAATTTGATGCTGACATATATTGAGCAATATGTAGGGAATGCTTAAATCTAGTTTTGATGTAATTCATTGCAAGAAATGATCAAGTATAAGGCAAACTTTGAGAAACTTGTCAATCACAAAACCTGCCATTGACTTTATACATAAGAAAGTTTCCTGAAAATGACGAAGTCCTACTTTTTGTCAAATTTTATAGAGTAAGCACCAAAAACTGTAATTCCAAGAGCTTTGAAATCTTCAGAGGACATAAGTTGCATATACAGCAACTACTACAAGTTATTTGAAAGTTCTACTTCAACAAAGTATCTAGTATTTACAGAAAATTTGACTTTCTGACGTCAAAATCAGCAATTTCTCGGAAACCGGGCGAACTTGGGAAATGGCGATGATAGGTCAAATAGGCATTATGGATATGCATAAAATGACTGTAGATATGACTCAATCCGAATAGCAGTTTTAATTTGTGCGGCCAATGTTGACGGACGGACGGACGGACCAACGGACGGACGGACCGACCAACGGACGGACGGACCGACCAAACGGACGGACGCCTGGTCGTCCCATAGGCTCACTGTGTGAGTCAAAAAAAGACTACTGATATTAGGAACATTCATAGATAGAAAGTAAGCCGCTGAATTCAGACATTATGACTACAAAGTTACCTATATCCTGATTTGAAAGGCCATGCCCGTAGCCAGGATTTGCCAAGGGATGGGTTCGGTTTTCAAAAATTTCCAGGGGGGTTCACATTTGACAATTTTGGCCCAAATATGGTCCAAATCACATGAGAAGTGCTCAAAATGGTGAAAAACTGAATGATTTTGAAAGTATTTTTGCCCATGGGAGGGGGGATTCGCCCGAACCCTGTGAACCCCCTGGCTATAGGCCTGAAGGCTGTATATCAGAATCAGTCACAGCCTTTGACATAGGTATATTAGTTGCAACAGTAATATTATATGAAAAATAGAAACCTATGTACAATACCTAACTTTTGTTTTTATTTCAGATAATTATGTATACTGTGCTAAGCTACATGACCTAAAATAACATGACAGTGTTCATCAAAGTAAAACAGGTCAAACATATGATAGTCAAACTACAAAACAAACTAAGATATATTTAAGTTAAGAAGTGAAATACCCTTGGACCGAGGATATACTCAGCTGGCTTTCGAGCCAGCTGTGTTCAGTAAGGTTTTCTGAAATCCATTCGATGAGTCCTACTTCATGAATTGGGAGTAAGTCAACCTTACTTCCTGCGAAAGCTATTTGGATTTTGATATAATACATGTAGCTTTCCCATGGAGCATTTGGACAGCTGAATGATTGTGACCTTTGAAATCGAATTAAGTCGATCCGCGGCTTACTTTTGGTCTAAAACTGTGTCTTACATCAGTATCATCAATCCGTATAAGTATTAGAGCGCTGAAATACTTCTTTTTCGATCAAGACTTATAAATTGTTCATCGAGTGAATATTTTTTAGACCTATTTCCAATATGGCAGTTTGCTAGGAACGAGATACGCAATGAACGAAATGAATTTTGAGAATTAGTTAGGTTCGGACAACCTCCGGAGATTTACGAAAATGTCCGAGCAGAAAACGTCATATTGGAATTTGGCAGTAAAAACATTCACTCGACTAACAATTACAAGTCTTGATCGAAAAGATAATGATGTATAACATAGTTAGAGAACAAAAGTATGCCGCGGATCGACTTAATTCCATTTCAAAGGTCACTATTAATCAGCTGTCCACTTCTCCGTTTGAGAGCCATAAGTTTCAAAATCTAACATGGCTCTCGAAGTGAGTAAAGTCAACCCCTTTTTGGGAACTGAAATATGTGAAGTGTATGTGTCATTTAATGCTTGAAATATGTGAAATATAGAAGTCTAGTCTACAGTGCTCTCCATAAATAAATGGCATCTTGATTTTCTATCACCATGTTGAGACTTCATACTTTACAATAATGTCGAGATACACATCCCTTAGTTTTGTATATTTTACATTTTGTATACTTTCAACAACTTATGTATGGCCTCTCTAAAATTCTCTTTTTTTAACATGAATCCCCACTTCAGCAAATACAGGTGTCATTTATTTATGGTGAGCAGTGGTGTACTTTTTTTTAAAAAATGGATCATAAAAAAATTTCCTCAAATTGAAATCAAAATTGTTCGTTATATACTGGATAAGCAACATCAAAACTAGGCAAGTTTGTTCTTTGTAAACTCAAAATTACGAACATCATATATCTGTGACGCATTACACCAAATGTAACCTATGAACTGGAGAAATACTTACACCATTTTTGTTCGAACTCTTGTTTTGATTTGTGCATTTAAGGAAGTGAATAAATGACGTAATTCGATTGGGTCATTCTGGAAAACACACCATGACACGACACATAAAATGGTTGTGCTGCACAATGATGAACTCAATCAATACAGTGCCTCAAGCAGGAGTTTATTGGGAATCTGTGTAGATTGAATCTGAGTCTATGGTCAATACAAACGATATTTTCCCTATAACAGCATTACAGGTGATTGTATGAGGCCTCCAAATGGGGTTTTCATAACACAATGAGACTGGGAATGATCATGAATTATAAGAACATTCAATCATAATCATTCCCAATATTCAATATATGCACATGTGCATGTACATGTATACATGTAAGTATATGTACACCATATACAGTGTTCATTGAATGCTTTTAGTAAAGTTCGCAAGGCTAACTTACATCTCTATTAAACAAACTTGAGTCAGAGTCTTACGAAGTACTGTTTCTTCAAAGTTCTAGATCTAAAGGAAGAGATTGGCACGAGTTTTTTCAGAGCGTGATCCTGGACTGTGCTTTGAGAATGGACACACTTTATATAATACAAGTTCATATGGACTTTTTTGTCGACTATAGTATTATCTCGTATATCTATAATATGTATTGAAGTTCATTGAAGTACAAAGCAATGACAATGTTTTATGTGTAACTGTCCTGGGGGGGGGGGTAGTCATATTAATCAGACCGTTGTATGCTGTTCTTCGATATTCCTTGTTCTTATTTGGATATTTATTTTTTATCATTTTCTTTGCATACATGGACGCTCATATGCAAGAAAATAAGAAAAAATAAATATCCAAATCAGAAAAAATAACAACAAATAACATAATACGAGGGTCAGATTTATATGACTAGGGGGGGGGAGAGGATGAATTACAATTATATTATGATTCCCTGCATGTAATACTTGTGAGGGTTAGAAGTGTTGAATTTGCGATAATTTGGCTCCACCAATATTCCAAATATGTATAACACTTAGGTGACCATCCATTCCTGAGAATTTTACAAATAATTTATTATAGTTTCTTGTTATTGGTATTTTTATTTCATAAAATTAAAAATTTCATGATTTGCACAAAATATATGACAAGAATACGTGTACAAATGCAATCTGAAGTGGAGGACATCCTAAAGGGCTGTAGAGTTACTTTATGTATACAGAATGTCCATGCATACAAGTACCACTCTCCCTACTCTGCTATATCTGTTGCCATGGTTACCAACCCTGGGATGACTGCTGTGGGTCAAGTGTGGGGTCAATTGGGAGCAAGTTAAAACACAGGGGAGTTCAGCTCAACGTCACATACTAATCAAAATATATTTTAGTCTGTAGTTTAGTTCAAAGGTCACAAAAGTCAGCCCTACAGAGCTCACAGAAGGTCAATGTTACACATGTAGGTCGATATCACTATTGACATTATGGAAGGTCGCATTCTGAAGTTGGCAAGGTCAATATGACTTGGGCCTTGTCATTGTTGGGTTGTTACACTATGATACTATGAGAGCAGATTTAAATAGGTTCCTATTAAATCCAAAGCCAGTTGCTTCCATACCAGATCATGTCAAACTGTGAAGTCTATTAATCTGGCCAAGATGACTTCATGCTATTAAACCACTATTGCTGATAGATAGCTCTCACATCACTTTTTCATTTTATTGCCTGTTGTGGTGATTTTAAATATTTTGACCCCTGGGACAACTTTTTTTAGTTTTTATTTGATTCAAAATTTAAGTACGCTATTGCTTTGCTAATGCCATACCTCACTCATACAGGTTTACTTTTTTAATTAGGCTACTTCAAATTATTTATAATATGTGGCAAAATCAATTTAAAAACCTTTGAAGTGATTTTGTAACTCACTTAAAACATGTTTATTATTCCCATATAACTTATGAGGCATTTGATTATGTCGTCATTTATTGCGCAGCTCTTTATGTCCATAGGTGTGATAATCTTATAAATCGTCATCAATACATAAGAATATCACACTTATGGACCTGCGCAATGAATTATGAAGCAATCTCTTCATATGTTATATAGGAATAATAAACATGCTATAAGTGAGTTGCGAAATCTCTCTATTAACAGATGTTACAGGTCAACAAAACTTATAGGCTTTCTTCTCTTTATATTTCAAGGTCCAGTACCAGTACATGTAGTCTTATGTGTATGAGTAGAAGTGTTGAAAAAATCCGAAGATTTCTAAACCACACCTATACAAGGGTCATTCAAAAAATACTCATACAAATGTTCTCATTTTCATGCCTATTAACCGAAGGGATAAATTTGAGAGTTTTATAGACTGTAAGCAATTTGGAAGTCTATCTTAGCTGAAATCTATGCCTCTGGTCATATTTGGCATTTGCTTTTTTTATATTAGGCAATAAATCAAAAGTTGTTACAGGATGACATGAAAGCTGGAGAAAACTGGAAGAGTCAATTTAATAGTCCTATAGAACCATAATGATGAAAACAGATTCAGAAATAGCAAAATGGGCCGTAACATAGAAATGTATTTGAACTACATTTAAAACATATAAATGACATATAAAAATATAAATCTGGATACCTCGATCTCTACATATTAAATTTGCTGTGACATCAAAAACGTTTCATCCTGATTTACTTGAAATAAATAAGGAATGAATGTTTGTATCAGTATTTATTAAACAACCCTTGTAGGTGATCACTGAATTCACTTCAAGTCAACCTGGCCAGAACTTTTCAAGCCAACACAATGCAACAAATGTAGTGTTAAATCCCATAATTTGTTGTCATGGTAACAGATATTGCCTAAAATCTGGGAATCTCACATAAATGTGTCCCATAATCCATCAATAATGTGTTTGTAGTAAAACATCAACCATCTGAAATTACTTAATTGTTAGAAAAGTGTAACACTAATGACAGCTACCCCCAGATGCTGCTCATAAAAATATTGGGGGATCACAACGTATTCTTACGTTTGAATGGTAACATAAAACATGTAAAAACAAAATTTACATAATACTTGAATTATTTTTAATATAAAGTATATCAAATGATTACATAACAATAATAAAAAGTTGTAGGACGGCTTATTTTTTGTCAAATATCCACTATATGACATCATATACACATGTATAACTTTATAACAACATATAACTTTACACGTATCGTATGTATGGACGGCTGAATTTATGATTAGTTGCATAAAATGTGGAATGTGAAAAAATGTAGAATGTATCTGTGAATATCTAAACTTAAAAATGGCCTTTTACTAAGGATGGAATGGAATAAAAACAAAACTTGAGAATGGAATGGTAAACAGGCCTTTGGAATGCTAAACAATTTGAAACTGATGTTCAATTTTTGACTGAATCAGCACATTTATGATTTCGCTGGGCAGTTTCGGACGAACACCCAACATGCCCAATATTGAACAACTGTTTTGCATACTGGAAGAAACTATTGAATAATGGGCAGTATAACAGTCAAAGTAGATGTCTTCTTAATGAACTTTGCTGCTGTATTATCTTCATCTACTGACCGATCAAAATGTAAAGTCAGCGAATATTTCTCCTCAACGGTTAATTCAAGAGACTTGCTCAAGACTTCTAAATCACATTCTGAAACGGATTTCACACTTGGTAGTTCAATTTTTAGAACATATTCCTCTCTGCCTCCGATCTCCCTTGTAGACAATGAATAGTCAGGCTTACGAGATAATTGTTCAGTTTTTATTTCTTCGATAAGGCCTGGCTTGACTTGTTCCGTTTTAAGAAGTGAAATGCCAGGAGATGGTGAATCAGCATGAATCCCATTTTCTTGAGTATCATCTGTAGTTAAAGATGATAATTTACTCATTAAAGATTCAGTTCCTCCAGGAGCCAATGCCCCAAACGTTTTCTCAATTTCTGATATATTATTCTCAAATTCTTTTTCGATTTTCTTGGTTTGTTTTTCAAATGCTTTAGCTATATGAGCTGGGTTGCCATAATAGTCTGTGCTATCCAAAACAACATAGTCTCTTGATAATTTGATTGGTTTGTTTTGGTCCTCTATAAAATCACATGCAAGCCCAATGAGACAGTCTCTCGTTTCCTTACTCTTAGCATTCTTGCCATATTCTTTCAGGATATTAGGATTGAAGGCAGTGGCTGCTATGACTACATCTCCTGAAATGTACATTTAAAACATGTTTATTATACATGAAAGTGAAGATTTAAGCATGTTGATATTTGGAGATGTACATTTAGACATGTTAATATCTAGAGAGTGGAGATGTACATTTAAAAATGTCAATACTTGGAGATGTATAATTAAACACATTAATATCTGGAAATGTACATTTAAACATGTTAATAGATAGGGATATACATATAAACATGTTAATACATAGTGATGTACATTTAAACATGTTAATACCTGGAAATGTACATGTAAACATATTACTAATTGGAGATGTACATTTAAACATGTTAATTCCTTGGGATGTCCATTTAAACATGTTTATACCTGGAGATGTACATTTAAACATGTTAATTCATTGGGATGTAAATTTAAACATGTTTATCCCTGGAGATGTACATTTAAACATGTTAATACCTGGAGATGTTTATAAACATGTGAATATATGGAGATATCTACTTAAACATGTTAATATCTGGAGATATACATTTAAACATGTTAATACATGGATATATACATTTAAGCATGTTAATACTTGAAGATGTATATTTAAACATGTTAATACCTGGACATGTACACTTATTCACTTAAGCATGTTAATACCTGGAGATGGCACAAAAATGACACTCATATTTAGATGAAGCGCCCTTTTGTTCGACCTATAAACTACAGTAGATCTCCTTTTATGGCTATTCAAAAAGTATCAAGGCATATTAACCTCTCAAGTTATGGGTGGGTGACATTTTTCCAACATTAGGCATGACTTCATTAAATGGCCATGGCGGTCATAAAATTGCTTCACTACGATTTTAGTAACAGCAAACTTCATAAAACAACATTTTTTCAAAATGGCCATTTTCGAGTAAAATTGTCAATGAACAGTGTACCATGCTTATAAGTAGTCACATGTAAAATATGAACAAAATCGCTATATTTACTTTTAGAATTGTATTAGAAAATATAAAATAACAAACATAAAAATGTTGAAAATCGACTTTCGAGGAAAACTTCTGCTGACATAGGGCACATGTGTTTAAAATATGAACAAAATCAGGCCATCCAGAGAGACGGACGGACAGAGGCATTCTCCATATCCCTCCAAATTTCGTTTGATGGGATGATTAATCAACTTATTATACAGGGTGAGCAAAAAAGGTAACCCAAACAAATGTATGGTAATAACTCAGTCATTCAGCATTGTTCTAAATCATATTGGCCTTGTTTAATGTTCTTTCATTCTACTTAGTATCACTGGTCTATCTCTAATAGTCACACAATTTTATGGTCATTTACAAAACATGCTCAAAATGCAGAAATGTGCCTCACTGACTGTTCATAAATCCCACCAGATTTTAATCTGTGGGCCTATACTCTATAACAACCCTTGAAACAAGAGATAAGAATGAAGATGAGAGCCCTAACACAAGTTGTTTATGTTCGTGTTGTGAATAAATACGCCCAATACATGTTGCATGTTTTGTAAAATGGCCATGAAATCGTAACCACTAGAGATAGAGCACTGAAACTTGGTAGAATGACAATACATTGGACAAGGCCTAATTGTGCCAAATATGACACTAAACTCATGCAGGATGACTAAATTATTAAGATTTGGTTGGGTTACATTTTTTTGGCTCACCCTGTAATATAGTACCATGAGTTTAACATTCAAATTTGCAATTAAAGCATCCTCGATGTAATCAAACAAACATACACGATAAACCATAAATGAACAGAAAGAAATTATCACTTATTTTTCTTAATATTACCACCACTTACCCTGAGCTTGAGAATCTGTCAGTATAGCACCGCCTACAACTGGTATTGGTGCCTCTTCATTTTTGGCATCAGGAACTTGTTGCCATTCACACATGTTAATATAGAATTTTCTGTTTTTGTTGTCCTGGAAGTACAAACATTAAAATCAAACTCTCTTAGGGGCCAACATCTTTATTTATTAGGAAAATATAACATATATGTAAGAAGTAACAGTTTAAGTCATGATGATGACAAACATCATAGCAGACCATATACCAGTGAACTGATCTCCCCAGATTAAAGCAAGTGGGCCCAGCACCCACGTGAGATTTAGAATATAGTCCTCCATCCACCTGAAAATCCATTTGCACCCACTTGAAAATGAGAAAATCATGAAAAATTGGCATATTTTGACCAATGTTTGTATGAATAATATTGTGAAAATGATAATTTTGCACCCACCCGAGAAAAAATCCTGGTGAGATCAGTGCGGTAGTGTGAATTTTGAAATAATGCCTCTGTAGTGTAGCTCTTTGATTTGTAAGCAGAAAGACGGCTGCATAAAATGAAGGTGAAACCAATTTTAAAATTAAAGATCAGTTACACTTATGCCTTAATACTAGATCAATGTGTTCTTCATTATGGCTAACATGACTTATTGACTTACCCTCGTTTGGACACACATATGTGGCGAAGGTGGTTTCATGGCTTGTTTTCCCTCCTTCATCTGCTTCTCAATGAATTTGCGGTAACTCTCTGGATTATTCTCAGACATATCATCCAACATTGACCAGATACTCTGAGCCTGATTCATCATATCCTCTGAATTGATGTTCAGCTTTGAGGGGTCCATCATTCACTGCAATCTGAGAAAACACAAATTTTGTTTTCTATTAGGAACAGTTAGGCTCCTATTGAATTTTGGATATACATGTAATCACCTGCTGTCAAAATGAATTTGTTCATACTTGGAATTCAGATGTGACCCAAACAAATGATGAGAAGAAACTTTTTTGTATTTAGATTCATTTTCAAGTATCTCTATAACTAATATATAGCTATTGAGTAGCTTAACAAAAAACATTTGATGACATAACACGATTGATCATCATGTACTACTTCACTGGTGATCCAATCGATTACGCTGGTTACCAAAACGAACCGTTTTGGTAACAAAATGTCGGAACGTCGAAGGCACGATTTTTCTTTTTTCCTTATTTCACACGTTGTAGGCAGAATCCCCAAGACGTTTTTTCTCACAATGTGCATCAGTATCATATGTTTTAGAAAATGTACATGTTTGCGATAAAATAGCTCAGATGACAACAGAATCGTCGATTTACTTCCTCACTTAAGTTACATAAACGGTTTTTCGAAAAACAGTTAAGATCTGCACTTTTAACCCAAACTGTTTATGTAACTTAAGTGAGGAAGTAAATCAACGATTCTGTTGTCTTCTGAACTATTTGTTCGCAAATATGTACACTTTCTTAAACATATGATACTGATACACGTTTGTGTTAAAAAATGTCGTATGAATTCTGCCTACAACGTGTAAAATAAGGAAACGAGAAAAATCGTACCTTCCGGATGTTCCGACATTTTGTTACCAAAACGGTTCGTTTTGGTAACCAGCGTAATCGAGTGGATCACCAGTGTACTTGAAAGTAGGCTGAAAGATTAAGTACCAACATTTGAATATTTTCAGAAATTCAACTTTTTGAATATTGAGGCTCATCTGTGGAAATTAGATTATGATTACAGTCTATTTCAACATTTTATTTCCCTAATAGGAGTCAAAATATTAATTAGTTTTATGTGCAACAGGACAACGGGGTGAAACCTCGAGGAGTTGGGTAATGTCGACATGCGAGAAGAATTACATACATGGCTTGCCCCTAGATCTGAAATTAGAGCAAACAAACAACAAGGTGTTAAAGTTACCCCATATGTTGAAGTTACCTAAAATCAACATTATACCCATTCACTCTAAATCTATGACCTCTTGTTATTAAGTAGCTTCAGCCAAGTTAATTTTTTCAAGGATAATAAATTGAAATGTGTGTTCTAATCTCTAGAGGGTAAGTAAGACTCCTAATCTTCAGGCATAGATCCCGGCCAGATTCTTTTGAAGTGTCTCAATAAATATTCCTCCAGGGGCGGTGAATTCGTATGATCCGCGATCCGATCCGTATAAATTTCGTCATGGTAATGATGCATTGTGGGATTAATCCAAGAATTAATCCAAAAATCGGTGAATTCGTACCATCATGGGATTAATCTCAGGATAAATCTCAATCCACCTCGTGAGGTGGATTACTTTTTGGATAAATTTTATCCAAATTCCAATGCAAATTGGATAAATCTTGGGGATTCCCCCTCATAGTCCTCGGATCGTACGAATTCACCAAATATTTTTCGGATTAGTAATCCAAGATTTATCCCAAAAGATAAAATTTATCCAGATTGGATTGGGGATCGTACGAATTCACGGCCCCAGATGAGACACCAAAAATATTTCGAAATTTTAAAATGATGATTGCGCAGCAATTACTGAAAAATATGCGACAAATCATACATGTACCTCATTCGAAGCGTCTTGTTATTCTTTAACTTTTTATCACTAATGAACGTTATTCAAGCAATACTGTGTTGAATGATAAGAGGCCAAAACATCAATATTTTATCTCCGGGCTGTTTTTTTGGCCGTAGGCCCCAAAAAGTGGGCCTTTTTTGTCATTACTGGGCCTTTACGGACCTCATTACGAACCTTAAAATCTTTTTGGCGACGAATATGCAGTTATGTTGCTGATAAACGTTGATATGTCATAAAACACAGAAATCTTCCGAAAGTTTCAAAATAATTTCAAATTGATTACTGAGCTACGAATCTTTTTAAGAATAAGTTTCGTATAAACAAGACTTGTGTAATCTTACAAATATATGCATAAATGAGAGATAAAAGTACATGGCATGTTCACAAATCATCGACTAAAATCTAATTGTAGATCTTTTTAACATATATTTATGGCTCATTCAAGTCTAATAAAATGAAATTTAAATACGAAACAAATCAGAGTTTAATTTTAGTAGCTCTGCACGTCTTTCTAAAAAAGTAAGTGTCTGAAAATACTTTTGCCTTCACCACTGTTCACAGCCGATTAAAGTCTAAATATAACTGGGTTGGTGTGGATTTTCTTTTCATGAAAGTTCGTTCCCATTCTTGTTATGTTAGGGGTTATGCTCAGTGATTCTGCTGCAATAAATTCACTTTTTATTGTTGATTTTCATTGTTACTTTCACTTGAGTGAACGTTAGACTAGATCTAATTTTACCAGGATTAAAAACAAGCATCCAGTGCTTTGGCAGAAGGTCACGTGATCCCCTCTTCATAAACAGGCATCATTGATTAGCTTTTAGAAAACGTGTGATTGATCACGTGATCATATCGTGCTCTTTGATTGGTCATCGGATAGACCATGGGTTTTCAATTAGATCTATACTCTTAAACACCTTGGTGTCCGACGATTAAAAAATCTATTTATTCTCTCATTTGGCTTTATTCTTAGTTTTCCCTCCATATATTATAAGTTTGCCGATGCCTTATCTAGCGCCACCTACCTTTTGTCAGTTCATCACAGGAAATTGAATAGAAATCCCCTTTTCTCATATCTCTCAAATCATTTCTCCCTCTCATTCGTCTCAAATTCCAAGATGGAAGTTATTCTAAAAAAATGATGTCATTTAGAACAGAAAGCCCATGTATAGACATATGTACATAATTCTGACAACATCATCCATTGCCAAAACTCTGACTGGATCTTACCAGTCAATTGGAAACAGTCAAATGAGGCTAATAGATACAATAACAGTTATACTTTCGAGTGATGGGATAGTTTAAGACTTTTGCTATAGCTGTGCAAGCAAGTCACGAAGATAAGCTAATTAAGGCTAGAATAAGGAAATAAAACAGGTAACTTTTTTGAATTCCTGTTTCAAATCCTGGTAAAATTATATGGCAGTAAGTTTTGAAAAAAAACGTTGACTCAAATCGGTGTTTACTTTATAGATCTAATGCTGCACGTAGGCGAGGCTATCACTGGTCAGTATCAAGTGACATAATGCTTTGATATTTGAACTAAATCAGACTTACATGACATCATCGTGGTAAGCCACACCCTCTCCATCTCTATCCTTTTGGATCTTGGATCCGCGATGCAACAGAGAGAGATGCTATGAGTATCAGAATGACATGACATGGAAACTATGGAATATGATCATTTGTTCATATATCGTGCATGGATGGCACAGTTCAACAATATCTCCACCACTTACGTAAGGTAACTGGAAATGTATGATATGGTAACGATCATGAAAATCCCAGTAACTCTCCCTTTAAGCGGTGGAAGATATCGTTGAATTGTGGTGCCTATGCACAATATATTGATTATACTCCAGAGTTTTCATGTCATATGAAAACTAAAAATATTGAAATCCATACTTCCCATTTGCCATCTTAAATGCGAAGGGGACGGCTGTACATTTCGCTTGACACTGACCAGTGGCTAAAGTACTATAGACTAGTCCTTAGTCCAGAGAACAGAGAGACAATGTCATCCATATAGGTTATTGTTTGATAACCAGTGCAGCTATTTGCCAACATGTGGAATTATGAGTGGTCCTTTCAGCAAAATGCACTCTCCTTAGAATTCCATTTTCTTGGATATGTATAGGATATCCTATGATTTTGAGAGATATCATTTTTATCAACGAGTTGATATCAATATCTGGACTCGTGAGTGTAGCCATAAGTGCAGATATTTATATCAACGAGTGGATTAAAATGGTATCACGAAAAAATCATAGGATACTGAGAAGTTCTCCTTGTCAGGTGTTAACTGATAATACTTATAGTATATGCAGAACTTCCCACTGTCTGTGATCATTTCCCTTACATGTAACAATTGTTTTTGTACCTGTTTTCAGGGAGAGTCCACAGATCAAATGTATGTGTGTAGACTAGCATTATGATGAAGTCCCAGGTGAACAAAACTCTACTGAGAAATGTTATCCGTCACACAGATGCTCATAACAAGGTAACAAATGATTTGTTTATCAATAAACGTAGACTACATTCTAGGGATTTTCAATCTAAACATCAAATTAATGTTTCTTCTTCCTCAATGTGTTTTTTGGTAGGAGGGTAGAACATGTACAACATACCATTGCTTTTGTAAATTGCCTTTCTGTGTCCATTTATGGCAAACCGTTTCAACACTTATGATAACCAAATTTTGCTAAAAATATTTTTAATTAGGCAGGTCAGAAAGTTTAATGGTGTGTGTTTACAATGTGTCACAATCAAAATGATAAAATTAAAACTAGATCTTGAAGTGAACATAAAATTTTGTGTAGAAAATCATGCACAAAAAATATGTATTGAAAAAATAGGGACTGAAATACAAATATATATATGGCTTATAATGTTGTTCCTCAATGGCATAACATTATTATGCTTTACTTGTATTTTCTATCGAAATTAATCATTAATAAAAAAAAATATATAAACAAATTTTTCACAACATCAAAGGAATAGGTTATTAACTGGTATCAGTCACATCTTTTACCATATATAATATGCAATTTAAGGTTGTGGAAGAAGCAGAAATGTGGCGTCAACATTTATCTCAAAAATCAGCATCCAGGAGCCAATCAGATTTCAGAAGCAGAAAGGAATCAGACACTAGATCTGGGAACCAATCAGAATCTCAAAGCAAGCATCCATTAGACCGTGGCGATGATCGCTCTTACCTGAAATACGATAGCTTTGATAAGAAAAGGAAATGTAAGTTGTACCCTTATCAGTACCATAACCTATTGGATTAAAGGGACTTATCAAAAAGCAGTGATCTCCCCAGCATTAAAGCAAGTGAGCACAGCACCCACCTGAGATTTTGGAAACAGACTTGCATCCACCTGAAAAGCCATTTGCACCCACTTGAAAATGAAAAAGAATCCTGAAATATTGACATATTTTGAGCAATTCTGATGTGAATTGTGAAAATGGGAATTTTGCACCCACTGTGGAGAACATTGAAATGCATTTATGGAAAGGAAAGAAAGAGTTTAAACTGGTGATGTAAAATCTTTATTGAAATCTGTGATGTAAATTAATGATGTCACGAAGGTATGATAATCCCTGAAATATCAACCACCCTTAATTGTTTTTACCTTGAAACAATCATAAAGTATATTACAAATGTTAAAATTGCATTTATCTGATTTCTGGCTCTACTGTTTTTATTTTCAGATGCAAGACATGCACACATGGATGATGAAGATAGGAACAGTCCAATTAGGGGTGAGAGGGATAACTACTGGGAGAGACAGCTATTAGACGCAAAAGAAAAGGACCCAGATAGGTCAGTACAAAGATTGGCTGGTAATATGAACATTTTTGCCTTGATTAAAAGATGTCTCCCCTAACAGCATTTTGCATTACCGATAATTACTTTCTCATATGTGTTAAATATATGGATGTTACAGGGTGTGAATTGGGAAAATGATATTGTCACCTATCCTATGTTCAGCCATACTGTTCCATTAACTCGTTTCCATTTTTAATTCATTTGGTTTATTATAGATGGGGTCATAGTGGTTACAAAGAGCTTTACAAAGAAGACTTCAGTTCTCAAAGATCAAGCAGGATAAATGGCAGTGACTCACCATTGAAAAGGTTTGAAATTGTATTTTTATTGAAAAAATTTGAAATTGTATTTTTATCGAAAAGGTTTGAAATTGTATTTTTAAGTCGTAAAATTTCGTACTTTTAAAAATACTGAATTTCTTTGATACAGATCTATATTCTAAAAGGTCACTAAGGTAATTAAAAATATAAACTCTCTGTATAGTAGTTTTACCCAATAAATCCTTCAACTTCCCTTTTCCAGGAAAAAGTCCAAGAAGTCAAAATTGAAGAAGAAAAAGAAGAAATCAAAGAAAAGGAAATTTGAATCTTATTCTGACTCTGACAGTGAAAGTGAACTCACACGATCTGAACAAAGGAAACGTAAACGAAATTGTCAATCTGAAGACTCTTCAAGTGCTGATTCCTCTCAAACCTCCAGATCTCGGTCAAAAAATAAAACGTCTAAAAGATCTCCAAGTTCTAGTCCCGATCTTGCAAAACTCAAGAGATGGAAAGAGCACATTCATCGTAAAATTGCAAAGGAGGAACATTATGTTAAAAAAGAAATCAGGAAAAATCGTGGGAGAAATCAAAAATATTCATTAAAGGTTAAGCGTGAAACACAAGATGGTAGTGGTTCAAATTCAATGAAAAGGTCATATTCAAAAGAGACATCAGACTCTGAAAGAAGGTCTCACTCTAGAGAAAGGTCATATTTAAATGAAAGGTTCAATTCAAACAAAAGTTCAACAAAGAGATTAAAAAATGCAGTTTCAAAACAAAGGTCATTTTCAAGAGAAAGGACATATTCAAGAGAAAGGTCATATTCAAATGAAAGGTCATTGAGGAAAACATCAGTTTCTGAAGGATCAAAAAGGTCAAAAAGTTTTAGAAAAAGGCATTATTCTAGAAGTCCATATTCAAGAGAAAGGTCAATATCTGACTGACATTTAATTTTTTCATATTGACCATAAGAATTAGGGATTTCAAGAAATACTGGATAAATTGCATTTATTCTGAATTTAGCTTTGAATATTTACTCAGATATGTATTCTAACATTATTGGCATGATTGTTGACTTATTTTAGTAATTGTAGTGAATTGTAGTGGTAAACTTTTTCTAAAATTAACAAAGTCATTTCTGAGCCACAATATATTTTTTTATCTCATTTTATTTAGCTCAGTGTCATATTTATTACTTTTCGGGGTTTTAAAATATAAGTAAATTGTCTGTTTGTGGCTTTAATGTAATTTGATGGTGAGGAAGGAATAGATGTTATTCAAGGTACACTCTGCATGTATATTTTGTGAGTTTTTAACACTTTTAAATATATATGATTCACAAGGTTTCAGTTTCACTTCTGAATAAAGGAATTGGCATTATAATGAATCATCTGTTGTCAGCCCTGTGAATTTTACCATTTTACAGTTTGGTTATTTTAGAAAAACTGTTAGAGACTGAATCCCTTTAATTTTATATTTTTATAAATCAACATTTTAAAACCATGTATACAGCACCTACTAACTGGTTTATGCTCTTTGTACAACTACTATATTGTGCCTAAAAGTTCTTTGAAAGCATGAGTGTAGCTTGGGATGAGGCAGGCAAGGCAACTGCTTCATCAACATTTATTGAAAGAATAAAATATTTTTTTCAATTGAAATGATGAAAAAATGAAATCTTCTGATTATGAAGTATTACATTGCCTTAAACTCTTTGCCTTAACTATTTAATACCTTGTCTATTTCTTAAATGCCTTGTCTATTTCTTTAATGCCTTGTCTATTTCTTGAATACCTTGTCTATTTTTTAAATGCCTTGTTTATTTCTTGAATACCTTGTCTATTTTTGAATACCTTGTCTCTTTCTTGAATACCTTGTCTATTTCCTAAATGCATTGCCCATTTCATAAATGCCTTGTCGATTTCTTAAATGTCTATTACTTTAATACCTTGTCTATTTCCTAAATACCTTGTTTATTTCTTAAATACTGTGTCTATTTTATGATCCTGTCTACACCTTTGGAAATGATCTGATTTGGGAAATTTATCCACCAAAAAGTTTCAATAAAACACCATTGCTTGTTTTGATGTAATTAAATACTCAAGTCAAGTACAAAGTCTTGTAAAAGTTCAGAACTATATACATGTATTAGTATCAATGCGACTTTATATTGTAATAATGATAATGCTTGCTTTTATATTTTCATTTTTGAAATCTGTGATACATGCAGAAATTAGTAGCATTGATGTGAATAATGAGGCATGCTCATTAAAGATGTTCATTGTGTTGATTAACATTTACTGTCTGATTAAACAACACCATGACAACACATTAATGTAGGTTGCTATTTTCACACTGAATCATAATGTAATATTGATTTTTTTTTGTATTCGTTTGTGCAATATACTTTTAAAATAAAACAATAGATAGTTTATAATTAGCAACTTGATGTATATAAACATAATAATGATAGATGTTTCCTGTTACAATAGAGAGCTTTCGTTATAAGTTATTTGGAATACGTATATGCAAACTTGTACTTGTACAAGTCAGGTTTAGCACAGGGGAGGAACTCTGGAAATTAAGATAGGGTGCTTTCACCCTACAAATCAACAAAATATTTGGAAGTATGTAGTTTGTGAGTTCCAGCTTCAAAATATGATTACAACTTAGAAATTAATTCTGCCATTGCTGGGACATTCACAAATCAATTTCTAATTAAATGTACTTTCCTTATTTCCCTGAAAAACCTTCCTCCCCAGTGGTTTTGATGTCATTTAAAAGTTAAAGTTGCAGTATAAGTTTGGCTGGAAACTTTCATCGAAAGCTCCCCAATACGCAGAAGCCAAGGATATGAGAAAGTACATTGTTACTTTGACATTGGCAATATCGCTCACTTAGAATTTGTAGTTGAAGGTTATTGTATCTGGGTGCAAATCCCAAGTCACAGATCTTGGTAGGTGAAATATAGAAAAAAGTGGGAAGCGAAAGCTATATATCTGATTGATGATCAAAAATTTCTCACTTTTTCTGTGTTGCAGTCCAATGGGAGATATGTTTTCTCTCTTCGTTCTAACATAACCGCTATCTGGTCCAGATTAAAATAATTAAACCTCAGATAATTATTAGAGCTTACTCGGAGATCGGAGCAAATATGACCACGGCATAAATTAGTCGATGTGAAAACTAGCAACAAGCAATGAAAATACACGAAAATGAGTTTCCATCCATGCAATGCTATGAAAATGAGTTTCCATCCATGCAATGCTATGAAAATGAGTTTCTATCCATGCAATGCTACGAAAATGAGTTTCCATCCATGCAATGCTACGAAAATGAGTTTCCATCCATGCAATGCTGCAGTTGTACTTATAAAGTGATCTTGCATGGAAACTCCACTTTAAAGCAGTGGTTTGAACCTTTTAACTAATTCTACAATGAGGTTTCCAATAATCCATCAAAAAAAATAAAATCCATTATTGTTTAATATGATTTCGTGTTTGTGAAAGTAGTTCTGTACTATGAAAAACAGTGGAAGATTTTTTAATTTCGCATATGGTTGGATTCTATTAAACTTAGGACAATATAAATTTTGTGGAAAGAAAAATCAAGAAAACTGTATATTAACTTTTATAATTACTAATTATAGAACAATTCACACAACCAATTTTTACAAGATGGTTGTGTAACCTCAAACGAATGTTTGTGGAGTCAATATATTTCTGATTCTGAAATTGCCCCTGTGACTCAGATTTAAGTTGTATGTTGCTCTTTAAATGATCAGTGATTGTGACTCAGATTTGTTGTATGTCGCTCTTTAAATGATCAGTGATTAAAATGGTATGCTCGTGTATTGAAAGAAAACATAAGACGTCACATTCAGTCAGTTGCACTGTGGCAATGATTCAATTATTAGCCTCCTGATGCATAAACCCATTAACGGCAAACATCATAAACATTATTTGTTATAAATATGACAATACATGAGGCATGAAGTTTTAACTGAAAATCTTTTTTTACTCAAAATGGGAGCCATATTGAATATCCCATATTGGAAAATCCTCTTTGGAGCAGTCCCAAGCATATACATGTATGGTATTATACAGTGTGTCTCAAAAAATGTTACACTTACAAAAGGTTCAATATCTTTCATGATTTTTCCTTTATCCCTAAAATATACTTAATACCAAAAGACCAGTATTTCTCGAATAAATCCACACCATCAGATTCAAAATCCGTCCATGATTGGCTGTACAGGACAGATTTTATACATGTTATAGACACATGTGAAATGTGATTTGCACCAACTTCTCAGTGGTTGGACATGTAGTGATTAATTCTTTTTTGGTGTGAATGTTGTGGACAGTGATATCTTGATATGATCAATGATCCAGTTGTTTCTTTCCTGGATAGAAATACAAGATTTCATTGTCATAGTGTTCAATTTTGTTATGTATGATGGCAACAGGATGGTGCAAAGGCTTGTGGCAAATCGTTTGGTAGAACTCTTTGGAAATCAGAAGATAGCATTGCATTACCCAATGGATTGGCCCCAAGGGTCATCCCACTTTACACCCTTGATTTTTTGAAGGGCCTCTGAAAGTGCTTTACAGCATCACAAACTGACCTAAATGAACTTCTGCTAAAATAGACAGATTTTACCATGGGACACTAAAAGCTGATTTTGAATCTGATGGTATAGACTGCGGACTATTCTGTAGAAGTGCTCTAGAAATGGATCTCGCTTTTCATGGAAGGTCACACATTCCAACATATTTCAAACAATTTGTATGATTATAATAGACACTTTCTGGGTAGTTGGACTTTATGTAGGGGTGGCAGAAGGCCCTCAGGCCAATTTATACCCCTACCCCAACAAAACCTTGGGGGTACTTTAATACCACCCAATAAAAATAATACTAATGCATATCAGATATTCATCGTTTTATAGTGGGTAGGGCATGCCATGGTTAGTCAGTGCCAGAAATTTCCAATCTCTGACTTATATGGTTACCATGGAAACAGTATTTATATCTCACAATCTTCTCAATTTGACCCCGTCCCAAATGTGTCCTAAGTTCTCAAAGTGAAATATTTGCAAATCTGTTTGGATTTTGTGGCTGCAACTTTGTCAAAAGTTGAATTAATATGTATGTATTCACACTAAAGCACTAACAACTTGATACAATGATCTCATAAATTAATAATACTTATCAAATGTAGTCACACACAACTGCTTTTAGGGAAAAGTGGGCGTGGCACTTTTTGGTACTTGTGTAATTGTTGCAGCATTAAATGAAAAATACTTATAACACTAACAACAATTGACATTAAATTAGCATCTGCTAACATTGTGTAACATTGTAGTATGTTCATTATCATTATTAGATACTTTAAATATTTTATATAAGTGTTATCATAACCCTTCCCTATCATAGGTCATTAATGGTCAAATTAACTTTTAAGTCCTAGAGGTCCTTAGTCTTTTTAGCTTATCAAAGTCGTATTCATTGACTTGAAGCTAGAATATAAATAGTTTCATTGATCAAGAGCTATGAGTTAAAATTGATTAATACATTTGTCAGGGTCAGAGCCATTTTATGCAATTGAAAAGTAATGGACCGACACTGATCAGTACCAAGTGAAGGTAACGGCCGTAACCTTCGCATCTAAGATGGCGGACAGTAATTGTCGATTTTGATATTTTTAATTTTCATTGAATTAAACTACTTTAGAGTTGATGTTATGCTTTGACATTTGCACCAAATCAGGCTTAAATGACATTGGAACCATAGATGTAGTAAACATGAATAAACGATATGTGAAATGTTATGCCCTGCCTTAATACATAACTAAGATTTTCTCGGATAAATGGTGTCTTACAATTGACTAACTGATTCTATTATCAACATCAGGTAATGCATGATCTATCCAATGGATTAACGAAAATACTTGATTCCAATATGGCAAAATAAATTATTCCATGTATGAATTGCATAGTGCATCATTTTGCAGATATTACATAATGCATTCATTGACTCATGGTCAACAAGGAACGGGTAAAACTTCTTTTAGTATTTCACAAAATAATGAAATATAAACAATTTACACATTTCTGAAATGCTGTACCTTTAGTGATTCCTTCGACCTGGAAAGTGGTTTGTTATACT